CCCAGTGGCGATGTTTACACACCACACTAGTTAATTGTTTGAGGCTAGGGGAGGCCCAGGACCGGTTAAAATAATCGTCACCGGTGGTGGCCGTGAGCGGGAATCGAACTCGGCTCGCCGGGTTCATAGCGCGGCGCGCTAACCACTACACTACAATACGTTACGCTTCCGCACACAGACACAGATACACACAGACACAGATAGACACACACAGACACACACAGATACACACAGACACACACACAGACACACACACACAGACACACACACAAACACACACAGATACACACACACAGCGCGCTAACCGCTACACTACAATGCGTTACGCTTCCACATGCGCGGGTCATGTGACAGATTTGACGTCACAGCTCACTTGCCGTGCAAAAAATACATGCATTATTGAGCTCCCCCCACGAAAAAAAATCCAAACAAAAGAGTATTTTTTATAATTTTTGCATGGTGTACAGTCTGGAAAGTACCCACATGGCAAATTTCCAGTTTGTTGCATGTCGGGAAGTACGCTAAACATTTTGAACAGACAACACATTCACAACTTTGCCTTTATATATATGGAGATATCCTCAAAATGTCCCTCCCAATATATTGCTATAAAAATTGCTATGCTATGTAAATAAAAACAACAATTTGCTAAGCCTTGGCCACAATATCTGGACTTGTCTTCATATAAATCAATGCATATATTTATGTTTATATGATTATGGTTGTACTTTATTAATCCCTAATCTCTGCCATTACATACAATGAATCAAGAAATGGTAAAAAAAAGTAAAAACAGAGCAATGTAATACAATATACACTCTTATACATTATTGTAAAAAAAATATGCCATGTATAAGTGAATTTTCAAAAATATTTTAGGCAGGAAATGAGTTTTCAAATGTAGATATTTTTTCTGGGTTGGGACCCCCAGACACCCTGGAAGATTTGGTCCCTCCCAATGTTGACTCCCTTGCAACGGCCTTGGCTAAACCCACACAGCCGGTGGAACTGCTATTGGGGAACAAACCCACATCCCCAGCTGCTGCTGCTGCTGCTGCGAGTGGGATATCAAAGCAGCAAAAGCATCGCCTCCTCTACTGCGACAAAAACTCGACAAGACCCTCTTCTAGACACAAAAACCACGGAGTCCTGAGACTCAGTGGAAGTTATTCCTGGTGGAGGGGGCGGGCGAAGTGAAATTTATGTAAATATTTTTTTTGCACAAAACCAGAGGCTTCCGCAGATTTCCGTGGACGGAGCGGAGTTTATCGGCAGCGCTTCCGCCTCCCCCCCACCATCCCCCCCCCTCCCACCACCCTCCCCCCCACCACTACCCCCCCCCCAGCACCTCTCCCACCCCCCACGCAAGGCCACGCGTGACGACACAGTCCCCCCCCCCAAACCCGAGCTCAAGGCCCCCCTCCCCGCCACTTCGCGCGAGCTGCAGCCCACTACCCCCCCCCCCAACTCTGTCACTCACAGCAAGGGGCACGACCACGCGCCTGCAGCGTGCTCCACGTGTCTCTCGAGCACGGGTTGGCTACGTACGGTGCGAAAGAAGTTCAACATACACACTGCCCATTGACTCAACACTGCCCATAGACTCAACACTGCCCATAGACTCAACACTACCCATTGACTCAACACTGCCCATAGACTCAACACTGCCCATTGACTCAACACTGCCCATAGATTCAACACTGCCCATTGACTCAACACTGCCCATAGACTCAACACTGCCCATAGACTCAACACTACCCATTGACTCAACACTGCCCATAGACTCAACACTGCCCATTGACTCAACACTGCCCATAGACTCAACACTGCCCATTGACTCAACACTGCCCATAGACTCAACACTACCCATAGACTCAACACTGCCCATAGACTAACACTGCCCATAGACTCAACACTGCCCATAGACTCAACACGGCCCATAGACTCAACACTGCCCATAGACTCAACACTGCCCATAGACTCAACACTGCCCATAGACTCAACACTGCCCATTGACTCAACACTGCCCATAGACTCAACACTGCCCATAGACTCAACACTGCCCATAGACTAACACTGCCCATAGACTCAACACTGCCCATAGACTCAACACTGCCCATAGACTAACACTGCCCATAGACTCAACACTGCCCATAGACTCAACACTGCCCATAGACTAACACTGCCCATAGACTCAACACTGCCCATAGACTCAACACTGCCCATTGACTCAACACTGCCCATAGACTCAACACTGCCCATAGACTCAACACTGCCCATAGACTAACACTGCCCATAGACTCAACACTGCCCATAGACTCAACACTGCCCATAGACTAACACTACCCATAGACTCAACACTGCCCATAGATTCAACACTGCCCATTGACTCAACACTGCCCATTGACTCAACACTGCCCATAGACTCAACACTGCCCATAGACTAACACTGCCCATAGACTCAACACTGCCCATAGACTAACACTGCCCATAGACTCAACACTGCCCATTGACTCAACACTGCCCATTGACTCAACACTGCCCATAGACTCAACACTGCCCATAGACTCAACACTGCCCATTGACTCAACACTGCCCATTGACTCAACACTGCCCATAGACCCAACACTTCAGAGACACCACCGGAGTGCTTCAGAGACACCACCGGAGTGTTTCAGAGACTCCCACGGAGTGCTTCAGAGACACCACCGGGGCCAATCACGGAGGAGTCCAAGGGACCCCCGCCCGCCCCGCCTCACCCCAAACCCCGCCCCTCTCCCCCGCCCCTCCCCCCCCGCCCCCCCTCCCCCCTGCCTCACCCCCCTCCCTTCCCGCCCCCCCCGCCCCGACTCACCGGGACCAGGGATTGAACCCTCGCCAGCTGACGACTGCCAGACACAGCGGCGTTAGAGCAGGCGAGCTGAGCCGGCATCACCACCACCACCATCACCACCACCATCACCACCATCGTCATCACCACCACCATCATCACCATCACCACCATCACCACCATCGTCATCACCAACATCACCATCACCACCATCACCATCGTCACCACCACCACCACCATCATCACCATCACCACCATCATCACCATCACCACCATCATCACCATAGTCATCACCGTCACCCCCATCATTATCATCACCTCCGTCATCATTATCATCACCATCGTCATCACCACCACACCCCATCATCATCACCACCGTCATCATCATCACCACCATCATACCCCATCATCACCATCATCATCATCACCACCACCACCATCACCATCGTCATCACCGTCACCATCGTCATCACCGTCACCCCCATCATTATCATCACCTCCGTCATCATTATCATCACCATCGTCATCACCACCACACCCCCATCATCATCACCACCGTCATCATCATCATCACCACCATCACACCCCATCATCACCATCATCACCTTCATCATCATCACCACCACCACCATCACCACACCCCCATCCCCACGATCACACCCCCATCATCATCACCATCACCACCATCACACCTGCATCATCATCATTACCACCACCATCACCCCCATCATCACCACCACACCCCCGTCACCATCACCATCAACCACGCACGGGCCACACCCAGATCGTAATCATCATGCGAACAAACTTCAGAAAACTTGTCGAGTTTAATATTGTGTGGAGTCGCGTGTGTGTGTAGCCCTGTCTGTGTGTCTGTAGCCCTGTGTGTGTGTAGCCCTGTCCGTCTGTAGCCGCATGTGTGTAGCCGCGTGTGTGTGTGTGTGTAGCCGCGTGTGTGTGTGTAGCCGCGTGTGTGTGTGTGTGTAGCCGCGTGTGTGTGTGTAGCCCTGTGTGTGTGTAGCCCTGTGTGTGTGTAGCCCTGTGTGTGTGTTACAGCTGTGTGTGTGTGTCTGTAGCCCAGTGATAGGCTATGTGCAAGCTGTCAATCATCAACGGGTTCATAGTTCCACCCCAAGCAGTGGTGGTGGTGTCACCCTCTGGTGAGGTTGTGGTGCTTATAGTGGTGGTGGGTGGCTGGTGGTGGCGGTAGTGGTGGTGGGTGGCTGGTGGTAGCGGTAGTGGTGGTGGGTGGCTGGTGGTGGCGGTAGTGGTGGTGGGTGGCTGGTGGCTGGTGGTGGCGGTAGTGGTGGTGGGTGGCTGGTGGTGGCGGTTGTGGTGGAGGGTGGCTGGTGGTGGCGGTAGTGGTGGTGGGTGGCTGGTGGTGGGTGGCTGGTGGTGGCGGTAGTGGTGGTGGGTGGCTGGTGGTGGCGGTAGTGGTGGTGGGTGGCTGGTGGTGGCGGTAGTGGTGGTGGGTGGCTGGTGGTGGCGGTAGTGGTGGTGGGTGGCTGGTGGTGGCGGTAGTGGTGGTGGGTGGCTGGTGGCTGGTGGTGGCGGTAGTGGTGGTGGGTGGCTGGTGGTGGCGGTAGTGGTGGTGGGTGGCTGGTGGTGGCGGTAGTGGTGGTGGGTGGCTGGTGGTGGGTGGCTGGTGGTGGCGGTAGTGGTGGTGGGTGACTGGTGGTGGCGGTAGTGGTGGTGGGTGGCTGGTGGTGGCAGTAGTGGTGGTGGGTGGCTGGTGGTGGCGGTAGTGGTGGTGAGTGGCTGGTGGTGGCGGTAGTGGTGGTGGGTGGCTGGTGGTGGCGGTGGGTGGCTGGTGGTGGCGGTAGTGGTGGTGGGTGGCTGGTGGTGGCGGTAGTGGTGGTGGGTGGCTGGTGGTGGCGGTAGTGGTGGTGGGTGGCTGGTGGCTGGTGGTGGCGGTAGTGGTGGTGGGTGGCTGGTGGTGGCGGTAGTGGTGGTGGGTGGCTGGTGGTGGCGGTAGTGGTGGTGGGTGGCTGGTGGCTGGTGGTGGCGGTAGTGGTGGTGGGTGGCTGGTGGTGACGGTAGTGGTGGTGGGTGGCTGGTGGTGGCGGTAGTGGTGGTGGGTGGCTGATGGTGGCGGTAGTGGTGGTGGGTGGCTGGTGGTGACGGTAGTGGTGGTGGGTGGCTGGTGGTGGCGGTAGTGGTGGTGGGTGGCTGGTGGTGACGGTAGTGGTGGTGGCTGGAATTCATTATCGCGGGGACAGGTCCAGGGAGGGGGCTGCCGCTGTTGTTGGGACCGTTAGTTGGTGTTGAAAGTCGCACTTGTGTAAATGGACACCGGACTGCTGCTGCTGGACTCCGCTGATGGTGAGTTCGCCTGTGTGTGTGTCTGTCTGTGGTGTGTGTGTGTCGTGTGTGTGTGTCTGTATGTGTGTGTGTCTGTCTGTCTGTGTCTGTCTGTGTGGTGTGTGTGTGTGTCGTGTGTGTGTCTGTCTGTCTGTGGTGTGTGTTTGTCGTGTATGTGTGTGTCTGTCTGTGTGTGTGTCGTGTGTGTGTCGTGTGTATGTGTGTACGTGTCGTGTATGTATGTATGTGTGTCGTGTGTGTCTGTGTATGTGTGTCGTGTGTGTGTGTCTGTGTGTCGTGTATGTATGTGTGTCTGTATGTATGTATGTGTGTCGTGTCTGTGTGTATATGTGTGACTGTATGTGTATGTATGTGTGTCGTGTCTGTGTATATGTGTGACTATGTGTGTGTGTCGTGTCTGTGTGTCGTGTCTGTGTATCTGTGTGACTGTATGTGTGTGTGTGTCGTGTCTGTGTGTTGTGTCTGTATGTGTGTCGTGTGTTACTGTATGTGTATGTATGTGTGTCGTGTGTGTCTGTGTGTCGTGTCGTGTCTGTGTGTCGTGTCTGTGTGGGTGTCGTGTGTATATGTGTGCCTGTATGTATGTGTGTCGTGTCTGTGTGTCGTGTGTATATATGTGTGTGACTGTATGTGTGTGTGTATGTGTGTAGTGTCTGTGTGTATATGTATGTGTGTCGTGTCGTGTCTGTGTGTGTATGTATGTGTGTCGTGTCTGTGTGTATATGTATGTGTGTCGTGTCGTGTCTGTGTGTTTTGTCTGTATGTGTGTCGTGTCTGTGTGTATATGTGTGACTGTATGTGTGTATGTATGTGTGTCGTGTCTGTGTGTGTCGTGTGTGACTGTATTTGTATATGTGTATATGTGTGTCGTGTTGTGTCTGTGTGTTGTGTCTGTATGTGTGTCGTGTGTGTCTGTATGTATGTGTGTCGTGTCTGTGTGTCGTGTCGTGTGTGTGTCTGTATGTATGTGTGTCGTGTCTGTATGTGTGTCGTGTGTGTGTGTGTCTGTATGTATGTATGTGTGTCGTGTCTGTGTGTCGTGTCGTGTGTGTCTGTGTGTCGCGGGGAGCGGTAGTGTAGTGGTTAGCGCTACGCTGCGTTACGAACCCGGCGAAGCGAGTTCGATTCCCGCTCACGGCCACTAACGCCGGTGACGATTATCTGAACCGGTCCTGGGCCTCCCCTAGGTCGACTCAGCCTTAAATGAGTCACCTGGTGCGTAAACATCTACACCGGAGAGACAAAGGCGGCCGGGCGTGGTGCTGGCCACCCACCCCCTCGTGTGCCACTGTGCCGGCGTTGGCAGGCGCTGGCTAACAGCACTTGCCTCAAAAGCCTGTGAAGGCTACACGGGGGATCTTTGTCTTTGTGGGGAGCGGTGGCGCAGCGGTTAGCGCTGCTCTGCGCTATGAATCCAGCAATGGAGCGTCCTTCCATTCCCGCTCACGAACAATGACTGCATGCGCCGATTTATCTGTACCGGTAAATGGCCACCCCCTAGGTCGGCTCGGCCTTAAAAAAACCGAGTGCCTGGTTGCGGTGTGTAAAATAGCACAGGGGAGACAAAGGCGGCCGGGCGTGGTGCTTGCCACCCACCCCCTCGTGTGCCGCGCCGGTCTTCATAGGTGCTCGCTACTCGCTAACAGCACTTGCCCCGACAGACTGGTTAAAGGCTACACGGAGAGATCTTTGTTTTTGTACGCGTTCCACGCGCGCGCGCGCGTGGAACGGGAAGGAAACTCCACTGTGTGCGAGGGGGAAACACGCGATCCCCCACATTATCTCTGTCTCTGTGTGAGTCAGAGAAAGAGAGAAGTGGTCACACGCCTTCACAGAACTTTCGAGATGGTGGTATCTGTGTGCGTGTCTCTCTCTCGTTTTCCCTGTCGCGGCGGTGAAATGTTGACTACCTCGCCTGGTGTAAAGGAAGTCGTGGGTTCGATCCCGACCCTGCGACGCCTGTTGTGTGTATTTGGAGTTTGCGGTGTCTCTCTCTCTCTCTCCGCGTGATTTTTCTCCGGGTCCTCTGGTTTTTCCCTCCAAAATTGTTAAATCAGCATCGCGCGTTCAAAGGATTTGGCCACAGCTGTAAATGTCCACATGATGATGGTGATGATGATGGTGATGATGATGGTGATGGCGGTGATGATGATGGTGATGATGGCGATGATGATAATGATGATGATGATGGCGATAATGATGGTGATGATGATGGTGATGATGATGGGAATGATGGTGATGATGATGGGAATGATTGTGATGATTGTGATGATGGTGATGGTGATGATGGTGATGATGATGGTGATGATGGTGATGATGGTGATGATGATGGTGATGATGGTGATGATGATGGTGATGATGATGGTGACGATGATGATGGGAATGATGGTGACGATGGTGATGATGATGGTGATGATGGTGATGATGATGGTGATGATGATGGGAATGATGGTGACGATGGTGATGATGGTGATGATGGGGCCTTGCCGGCTAAAATACAAAATAACTTCGTCTCTCTCTGCATCTCTCTCCCCCCTCTCTCATTGCCCCCCTCTCTCTCTGCCCCCCCTCTCTCTCTGCCCCCCCTCTCTCTCCCTGCCCCCCCTCTCTCTCCCTGCCCCCCCCTCTCTCTCTGCCTGCCCCCCCTCTCTCTCTGCCCCCCCTCTCTCTCTGCCCCCCCTCTCTCTCTCCCTGCCCCCCCTCTCTCTCTCCCTGCCCCCCCCTCTCTCTCTGCCTGCCCCCCCTCTCTCTCTGCCTGCCCCCCCTCTCTCTCCCTGCCCCCCCCCCCCTCTCTCGCGCTTCCAGAGCCGCTGGACGGCTTCAGTGCCCGTCAGCTGGTGCTGCGCGTGCAGAGGAAGCTGCAGGGCAAGTGCCGGGGGAGCGGGCGTGGGGGCCCTGCGGCAGGGGCGGGGTGCCCCCCCCCCTCCTCCGCCCCCCCCCTCGTGGACGAGGCTGCGAGCGCGGCTCTGGACGCGCTGTACCGCGTGGCGCGGTGCAGCTCGGGCAGCCAGAAGCGGGCGCAGAGGCTTCTCAAGGACCTCGTCAAGGTGGGGAAGGGGGGCGGGGAGACACCTGCTGGGCGGGCGACGTGGGCGTGGGCCCCGCGTGAGTGATGTGTGGTGAGTGTGGTGAGTGTGGTGAGTCTGGTGAGTGTGATAAGTGTGGTGAGTGTGGTGAGTGCGGTGTGTCTGGTGAGTGTGAGTGCGGTGAGTGTGGTGAGTGTGGTGTCCGGTGTGTGAGTGTGGTGAGTATGGTGAGTGCGGTGTGTGAGTGCAGTGTGTCTGGTGAGTGCGGTGAGTGTGGTGAGTGCGGTGTGTCTGGTGAGTGCGGTGAGTGTGGTGTGTGAGTGCGGTGAGTGTGGTGTGTGAGTATGGTGAGTGCGGTGTGTCTGGTGAGTGCGGTGAGTGTGGTGTGTGAGTGCGGTGAGTGTGGTGAGTGCGGTTAGTGTGGTGTGTGAGTGTGGTGAGTGCGGTGAGTGTGGTGAGTGCGGTGAGTGTGGTGAGTGAGTGCGGTGAGTGTGGTGTGTGAGTATGGTGAGTGTGGTGTCTGGTGAGTGCGGTTAGTGTGGTGTGTGAGTGTGGTGAGTGCGGTGAGTGTGTGTGGTGTGTGAGTACGGTGAGTGTGGTGAGTGCGGTTAGTGTGGTGTGTGAGTGTGGTGAGTGCGGTGAGTGTGGTGAGTGCGGTGAGTGTGGTGAGTGAGTGTGGTGAGTGCGGTGAGTGTGTGGTGTGTGAGTGCAGTGAGTGTGGTGAGTGCGGTTAGTGTGGTGTGTGAGTGTGGTGAGTGCGGTGAGTGTGTGTGGTGTGTGAGTGCAGTGAGTGTGGTGAGTGCGGTTAGTGTGGTGTGTGAGTGTGGTGAGTGCGGTGAGTGTGGTGAGTGCGGTGAGTGGGGTTTGTGTGGTGTGTGAGTGTGGTGTGTGTGGTGTGTCTGGTGAGTGCGGTGAGTGTGGTGTGTGAGTGTGGTGAGTGCGGTTAGTGTGGTGTGTGAGTGTGGTGTGTGAGTGCGGTTAGTGTGGTGTGTGAGTGTGGTGTGTGAGTGCGGTGAGTGCGGTTAGTGTGGTGTGTGAGTGTGGTGAGTGCGGTGAGTGCGGTTAGTGTGGTGTGTGAGTGTGGTGTGTGAGTGCGGTGAGTGCGGTTAGTGTGGTGTGTGAGTGTGGTGTGTGAGTGTGGTGTGTGAGTGTGGTGAGTGCGGTTAGTGTGGTGTGTGAGTGTGGTGTGTGAGTGCGGTTAGTGTGGTGTGTGAGTGTGGTGAGTGCGGTTAGTGTGGTGTGTGAGTGTGGTGAGTGAGTGTGGTGTGTGAGTGCGGTTAGTGCGGTGAGTGCGGTGTGTGAGTGCGGTGTGAAAGTGTAGTGAGTTAGTGCGGTGTGTGTGGTCAGTGTGGTGAGTGTGGTGTGTGTGTGTGGTGAGTGTGGTGAGTGCGGTGAGTGCGGTGAGTGTGGTGAGTGTGGTGAGTGACTGTGGTGAGTGAGTGTGGTGAGTGTGGTGTGGTGTGTGAGTGCGGTGTGTGTGAGTGTGGTGTGTGAGTGTGGTGTGTGAGTGTGGTGAGTGTGGTGTGGTGAGTGCGGGGTGTGAGTATGGTGAGTGCGGTTAGTCAGTGTGGTGAGTATGGTGAGTGTGGTGTGGTGAGTGCGGGGTGTGAGTATGGCGAGTGCGGTGAGTCAGTGTGGTGAGTGCGGTGAGTCCGATGTGTGTGGTGTGTGTGTGCGAGTGCGGTGAGTGCGTGTGGTGTGTCAGTGTGCTGTGTGTGTGGTGAGTGCAGTGAGTGTGGTGTGGTGAGAGCGGTGTGTGGTGAATGCGGTGTGTGGTGAGTGCGGTGTGTGGTGAGTGCGGTGTGGTGAATGTGGTGAGTGCGGTGTGTGTGGTGAGCGCGGTGTGTGTGGTGCGTGTGGTGTGTGGTGAGTGTGGTGAGCGAGGTGTGTATGGTGTGTATGGTGTGTGTGGTGAGCGAGGTGAGTGCGGTGTGTGGTGAGTGCAGTGTGTGGTGAGAGCGGTGTGTGTGGTGAGCGAGGTGTGTGTGGTGTGTGTGGTGTGTGTGTGGTGTGTGCAGTGTGTGTGGTGAGAGCGGTGTGTGGTGAGTGTGGTGAGTGTGGTGTGGTGAGAGCGGTGTGTGGTGAGTGTGGTGTGGTGAGAGCGGTGTGTGTGGTGAGTGTGGTGTGGTGAGAGTGGTGTGTGTGTGGTGTGTGTGGTGTATGTGGTGAGGTGAGTGTGGTGAGTGTGGTGAGAGCGGTGTGTGTGGTGTGGCGTGGTGAGAGCGGTGTGTGTGGTGTGTGTGGTGTATGTGGTGAGGTGAGTGTGGTGAGTGTGGTGAGTGTGGTGAGGGCGGTGTGTGTGGTGTGTGTGGTGAGTGTGGTGTGTGTCGTGTGTGTGGTGAGTGTGGTGAGTGTGGTGTGTGGTGTGTGTGGTGAGTGTGGTGAGTGTGGTGTGTGTGGTGAGTGTGGTGTGGTGAGAGCGGTGTGTGTGGTGTGTGTGGTGTGTGTGGTTAGTGTGGTGTGGTGAGAGCGGTCAGTGTGGTGTGTGTGGTGAGTGTGGTGAGTGTAGTGTGGTGAGAGCGGTGGTGTGTGTGGTGTGGTGAGAGCGGTGTGTGTGGTGAGTGTGGTGTGTGTGGTGAGTGTGGTGTGTGTGTGGTGTGTGTGGTGTGGTGACAGCGGTGGTGTGTGTGGTGCGGCCCGCCAGGTGGTGGTCACGGTTGTCCTCCTGTCCCGGAGTGGGCAGCTCGAGGAGACGGCCGAGGCCGCTGCCGAGGTTCAGCGGCTCAAGGGTCACGTGCGGCGAGCGGCCATGACGGCACTCAGCTTCTACCAGGTGAGTGGTGAGTGGTGAGTGCATCTCACTCGCACTCACCACCCACCAGACGAGTGGTGAGTGGTGAGTGCATCTCACCCGCACTCACCACCCACCAGGGGAGTGGTGAGTGGTGAGTGCATCTCACTCGCACTCACCACCCACCAGACGAGTGGTGAGTGCATCTCACTCACACCACCCACCAGGTGAGTGGTGAGTGCATCTCACTCGCACTCACCACCCACCAGGTGAGTGGTGAGTGGTGAGTGCATCTCACTCGCACTCACCACCCACCAGACGAGTGGTGAGTGCATCTCACTCGCACTCACCACCCACCAGGTGAGTGGTGAGTGCATCTCACTCGCACTCACCACCCACCAGGTGAGTGGTGAGTGCATCTCACTCGCACTCACCACCCACCAGGTGAGTGGTGAGTGCATCTCACCCGCACTCACCACCCACCAGGTGAGTGGTGAGTGCATCTCACCCGCACTCACCACCCACCAGGTGAGTGGTGAGTGCATCTCACTCGCACTCACCACCCACCAGGTGAGTGGTGAGTGCATCTCACTCGCACTCACCACCCACCAGGTGAGTGGTGAGTGCATCTCACTCGCACTCACCACCCACCAGGTGAGTGGTGAGTGCATCTCACCCGCACTCACCACCCACCAGGTGAGTGGTGAGTGCATCTCACCCGCACTCACCACCCACCAGACGAGTGGTGAGTGCATCTCACTCACACTCACCACCCACCAGACGAGTGGTGAGTGGTGAGTGCATCTCACCCGCACTCACCACCCACCAGGTGAGTGGTGAGTGGTGAGTGCATCTAACTCGCACTCACCACCCACCATGTGAGTGGTGAGTGCATCTCACTCACACTCACCACCCACCAGACGAGTGGTGAGTGCATCTCACTCGCACTCACCACCCACCAGGTGAGTGGTGAGTGGTGAGTGCATCTAACTCGCACTCACCACCCACCATGTGAGTGGTGAGTGCATCTCACTCACACTCACCACCCACCAGACGAGTGGTGAGTGCATCTCACTCGCACTCACCACCCACCAGGTGAGTGGTGAGTGGTGAGTGCATCTCACCCGCACTCACCACCCACCAGACGAGTGGTGAGTGCATCTCACTCACACTCACCACCCACCAGACGAGTGGTGAGTGGTGAGTGCATCTCACCCGCACTCACCACCCACCAGGTGAGTGGTGAGTGGTGAGTGCATCTAACTCGCACTCACCACCCACCATGTGAGTGGTGAGTGCATCTCACTCACACTCACCACCCACCAGACGAGTGGTGAGTGCATCTCACCCGCACTCACCACCCACCAGGTGAGTGGTGAGTGCATCTCACTCGCACTCACCACCCACCAGGTGAGTGGTGAGTGCATCTCACCCGCACTCACCACCCACCAGGTGAGTGGTGAGTGCATCTCACCCGCACTCACCACCCACCAGGCGAGTGGTGAGTGCATCTCACCCACACTCACCACCCACCAGGTGAGTGGTGAGTGGTGAGTGCATCTCACTCGCACTCACCACCCACCAGGTGAGTGGTGAGTGCATCTCACTCGCACTCACCCCCCATCAGGCGAGTGGTGAGTGCATCTCACCTGCACTCACCACCCACCAGGTGAGTGGTGAGTGGCTTACCCGCACTCACCACCCACCAGGTGAGTGGTGAGTGCATCTCACTCGCCACTCACCACCCACCAGGTGAGTGGTGAGTGCATCTCAGGTGAGTGGTGAGTGGTGAGTGCTCCCCACCGATCGAGGGACTGAGCCTTCATCGGCGCTACTCGCTCACGGCACTTGCCCCAAGAGTCTGTTAGAGGCTGTACGGGGGATCTTTGTCCCTTTGACTTGGTGAGCGCTGACACTGATGCTTCTTCTTCCTGCTGCTGCTGCTACTACTACTCCTGCTGCTATTGCTACTGCTCCTACTACTGCTGCTCCTGCTGCTACTCTTGCTATTCTTGCTACTGCTACTACTGCTGCTGCTACTACTACTGCTGCTCCTGCTGCTACTCTTGCTACTGCTGCACCTGCTGGTATTCTTGCTACTACTACTGCTGCTGCTCCTACTACTACTGCTGCTCCTACTACTATTGCTACTGCTCCTACTACTGCTGCTGCTCCTGCTACTACTGCTCCTGCTACTCCTGCCGCGACTCCTACTACTGCTGATCCTACTACTACTGCTCCTCCTATTGCTACTACCGCTGCTACTACTCCTGCCACTACTCCTGCCACTACTCCTGCCACTCCTCCTGCTCCTGCTGCTGCTGGCGCTACTGCTCCTACTACTGCTGCTGCTCCTGCTACTCCTGCCGCGACTCCTACTACTCCTGCCGCGACTCCTACTACTGCTGCTCCTACTACTGCTGCTGCTCCTGCTACTCCTGCCGCGACTCCTACTACTGCTGCTCCTACTACTACTGCTGCTCCTGCCGCTGCTGCCGCTGGCGTGCGTGCGTGCGAGCGAGCAGGTGGACTTCACGTTCGAGCGCGAGGTGCTCTCCGCGCTCCTCGCGCTCTGCGGCTCCTCGCTGGGCGCCCTGCTGCCGCCGTGCCACGGGCCCCGCGTGGCTCGCGCCTTCCGCGCCCTCGCCGCTCCCGAGCTGCTCACCGCGCTCTACGACCCCGGCGGCCCACACCGGCGCGGCCTCGCGCAAATGTGCGAGGCCATCGACGGCCTGCTCGACCGCGGGATCGTGTGACCGCCACTGCCCTCCCCCACCCCGCAACCGCACCGCCGAGCCTCCGAAGGCCTGCTGGATCACGTGACTCCTGTACCATCGAAGGCCTGCTGGACCGTGCCAACGTTTGACCCCCGTGCCATCGAAGGCCTGCTGGACCGTGCCACCGCCTGACCCCTGTACCATCGAAGGCCTGCTGGACCATGCCCCTGCCTGACCCCCGTGCCACTGAAGGCCTGCTGGATCACGTGACTCCTGTACCATTGAAGGCCTGCTGGACCGTACCACCGCCTGACCCCCGTGCCACTGAAGGCCTGCTGGACCGTACCACCGCCTGACCCCCGTGCCATCGAAGGCCTGCTGGACTGTACCACCGCCTGACCCCCATGCCATCGAAGGCCTGCTGGACCGTACCACCGCCTGACCCCCGTGCCACTGAAGGCCTGCTAGACCGTGCCAACGTCTGACCCCCATGCCATCGAAGGCCTGCTGGACTGTACCACCGCCTGACCCCTGTACCATCGAAGGCCTGCTGGACCGTGCCACCGCCTGACCCCCATGCCATCGAAGGCCTCCTTGACCATGCCCCTGCCTCACCCCCGTGCCACTGAAGGCCTGCTGGACCGTACCATCGCGTGACCCCCCGTGCCATCGAAGGCCTGCAGGACCGTACCACCGCGTGACCCCCGTGCCACTGAAGGCCTGCTGGACCGTACCACCGCGTGACCCCCGTGCCATCGAAGGCCTGCAGGACAGCCTGCATAGGCTACACGTGTATACATGAGAACACTGCGTGTGTGTGGGGAGCAGAAGCCGAGCGGTGAGCGCGCTGCGCGACGAACCCCGGCGACCCGAGTTCAATTCCCGCTCACGCCCACCGCCGGCACCGGTGACGATCATTCCGAACCGGTCCTGGGCCGGACCCTTGGCCGACACAGCCCCAAATGAGTAGCTGGCACAGGTGTGTAGCCAAACATCGCCACGGGGGGAGACGGAGGCGGTCGGGCCTGGTGCCGACCCCATCCACCCCCCTCGTGTGACGTGCCGGCCTGTAGCAAGGTGCTCGCCCACGGCACTCGCCCCTAAAGTCTGTTGAGGCTATACGGGGCGTCTTTGTCTTTGTGTGTGTGTGTGCGCGTGTCTGGAGGCAAGTTGCTTGAAGACGAATGCGGGGTGGGGGGGGGGGATGGCGGCACCGCTAATTTGTTATTGCGACTTATTTATTTATTTAGGCCATCAGGAAGAATGAACACCCCGTGCAGGGGGCGGGGGGGGGGGGAAGAAATAGAAACAAACAACGCAAATGACCCCGGCAACACGCGGACGACGACGCTGCTCGCGAGTTGGACACACGGACTGCGGATGAACGCGGCGAGCGGGGGGGGCCCCCGTCGACGGCGAGCGGGGGGGGGGGGGGCCCGCTCGTCGTTGACGGGCGGGGAGCCTTTCCGAGTTTCGATTAGCACGCCGACCGCTCGCCGAAGGCGGCCGCAGCACCGGGCGGCGAGGTGGCCGGCACTACCGACGGTTGCGCCCCTCCAAGCTCTGCGGTCCCCTACGCGCGGAGGTGTCCTCGGCCCGGTTAGCGACAAGTGTGTCGTTTGCGCACGTGGGAGGAGGAAAGCGGTGCAACCCGGAGAGAATCCACGCGTGAGCGAGCGAGCAAAAGAGGGAGAGAGCAACGCTCTATCCCCCCCACTCCCCGTGCAGACGGAAACAGGTGCAGGTCTTGCATTGTGTTCGCTGCGAGCCGCTCTTCTCCTGCCACAAGAGACCAGGGGCAGGGTGTATGGCTCCTCCACGACACCCAACCCGCGGCTAAAGGAAGGAAGGGAGGGGGGGGGGGTGAGGTGGTGGTGGTGCTTTATCAACATTCTTTTTTTTTGGCAGAGCGACAGTGTAGCGGTGGTCAGCGTTACGCCGCCGCTACGAACCCGGCGACCCCGGGGTTCGATTCCCGCTCACGGCCAACACCGGTGACTTTTATGTGAACCGGTGCTGGGCCTCCGCTAGGTCGACTCAGCCACCACCGCCACTAGGGAGTTAAAGGCGGCCGGGCGCAGTGCTGGTCACCCACCCGCTCGTGTGCTATCCCCGCCTACATAGGTGCTACTCGCCAACCGCACTTGCCCCAACAGGCTGGTCAAGGCTACACGGGGGATCTTCGTCTTTTCTTTTCATCCACCCGCAACCCCCCCTCGCTCGCCGCTGCCCCCCACAGTGCTGGACTATGGATGGGGCGGCCGCTTGCCAGCAGCGTAGCCGCCGCCGCCACCACCACCACCACAACCATCCACCCGGTTATAATTAACAACATAATTCAGTAGTAGTAGCAGTAATGGGTGAAGTGTAAGAGGGGGGAGTTCCCCTATTCACGCGCGGAATCGGCTCGCTCCCACCCCCCCCCCCCCGGGTACCGTTTCGAAGGACGAAAGAGGGGGCGCACGGCGTTCTCTCGCGTTCAGTTCCACCCCCCCCCCCCACCCCTCGACTTTCAGAATCGTAATCAGAATATTTATACCGGAGGAATCCGATGAGCCATAAAGCTCAGTCGGGCCCCCCCCCCCCCCGCCCTGCCCCCAGCCAAAAGTTGTTAACACGGAAAAAACCGGTAGACGATTTTCAGAATCCGTTCGGGGTGGCGGTGGTGGATGTGTGCGAGTTGTGTGTGGGGTGTGTGGGGTGTGTGGGTTTACTGGCTTTCTCGAAGGAAATTCTAGGAAGTGACCGGTGGCCAGGGAGATTGTTTGGTGGGGGGAAAAAAGTTTTGGGAGTTAAAAATAAAAAAATAAATTGGTCCACCCCTCCCGACTTGTTTGAGGAACTTTGCACAAACGGCTATCGGGGGGGGGGGGGGGGGGGCACCTGGGAAGATGTAAACCCGGCGGCGGCGGCGTTTTGGCCGATGCACCATGGCAACAATCCTCGAAAATTCTTCGGCTACTGAAAAACGAAAGACGTAAATGGCGCGACGACGACGACGCTTATTGCCGGATTATTTTTTTTTAGGGCGTGCGGCAAACCGGTTTTGCACGGCAAGTGCTGAATCAACGCGCGGAGCGTTTTCGGAGCGCTCGACGCCGAACTACTTTCCTGAGCCGTGCGTGCCGAGCGGTACGGCGATGCACTCCGTGACAGAGTTACGCGGCGGTGGCGCTGGCGAGCCCTCGGGTTTATTCGTCCCGCCATCTCACCGCGTGCGCGCGGTAGCGCGTTGTTTACGGGGAAAATTTTCTTTCGCTAAACGCGCTTTTTCGCCCGACGCGGCACTTTTCGGGAATGCGCCCGCTTCCTACGACCGAAGCGGTAAACCAAGGGACTTGCTGTACAGTTTCGCGGGTTACAAGTACAGGGACTCCTATGCTTACGAACATTCGACTTGAGAACTTTCAGAGATACGAACAAACCCGTCCGTACGTCCAGTTGCCTGTTCGGACCTAGAGTCGTAAGTTCAACCGCGCGCGCAATAGATGGCGGTGGGTGGCATCTACATCTGCAGAACGTGAAGAACCGGTGGCATCTACATCTACAGGAGATTATACAACTTGTAAAGCCATTCCCCGTGTTTACTGTGCATACCGTACAACGTGTTTGGGGTCGGCAGGAGTAAAGTTGGACTTATAAACAAATCTCTGGAAACCAACTTGTTCCTAAGCAGAGGAGTCCCCTGCCAAAGATCCCACATCTCACACGCTCCATGCGCGCGCGTCTCTCCCCCCTCGCTCGTGGACTCAAATAAAGGCCACGGCTAGAACCACGGAGGTTTTGATTTCCAGGCGACTGTTGTGGGCGATCGTCGCCGGCGATGGCTAGCCGCGAAATTCCCCCCCAACGAGCGGGCAACGTTCCGTTCAGATTGGAGACGCGAGGTTCACACTCGCCCATGCCCAGACACGACCCAAATACGTACAAAAACAACCTGTGGGCCTTCATATCCCGCTTTGATGGATGCCAAGAGAAAGCCTTCCGTCCGACTGATCGCTCCTCCTGATCATTTTGGTGGTGTACCGAGCGACTGGCTTACTGGCTGATGATTAAAGAGGCTAATAAGTGAATGTCACCTCCCTAGCGACTAGTACTCATCCCTAATCCCCTAGTGACCAGTACTAGGCCTGGCCCATCCCTAATCACCTAAGTGACCAGTACTAGGCCTGGGCCATCCCTAATCACCTAGGTGACCAGTACTAGGCCTGGCCCATCCCTAATCACCTAGGTGACCGGTACGAGGCCTACTCCATCCCTAATCACCTAGGTAACCAGTACTAGGCCTGGCCCATCCCTAATCACCTAGGTGACCGGTACTAGGCCTGGCCCATCCCTAATCGCCTAGGTGACCGGTACGAGGCCTGGGCAATCCTTAATAACCTAGGTAGCCAGTACTAGGCCTGGCCTATGCCTAATCAGCTAGTGACAAGAACTAGGCCTGGCCCATCTCTAATCGCCTAGGTGACCAGTACGAGGTATGCCCTATCTCTAATCACCTAGGTGACCGGTACTAGGCTTGGCCTATCCCTAATCACCTAGGTGACCAGTACTAGGTATGCCCTATCTCTAATCACCTAGGTGACCGGTACTAGGCCTGGCCCATCCCTAATCGCCTAGGTGACCAGTACTAGGTATGCCCTATCTCTAATCACCTAGGTGATCAGTACGAGGTATGCCCCATCTCTAATCACCTAGGTAACCAGTACTAGGCCTGGCCCATCCCTAATCACCTAGGTAACCAGTTCTAGGCCTGGTCCATCCCTAATCACCTAAGTAACCAGTACTAGACTTGGCCTATCCCTAATCACTTGGGTGACTAGTACTAGGCCTGGCCTATCCCTAATCACCTAGGTGACCAGTACTAGACTTGGCCTATCCCTAATCACCTAGGTAACCAGTTCTAGGCCTGGTCCATCCCTAATCACCTAAGTAACCAGTACTAGGCCTGGCCTATCCCTAATCACTTGGGTGACTAGTACTAGGCCTGGCCTATCCCTAATCACCTAGGTGACCAGTACTAGGCCTGGCCTATCCCTAATCACCTAGGTGACCAGTACTAGGCCTGGCCAATCCCTAATCACCTAGGTAACCAGTACTAGGCCTGGCCAATCCCTAATCACCTAGGTAACCAGTACTAGGCCTGGCCTATCCCTAATCACTTGGGTGACCAGTACTAGGCCTGGCCTATCCCTAATCACTTGGGTGACTAGTACTAGGCCTGGCCTATCCCTAATCACCTAGGTGACCAGTACTAGGCCTGGCCTATCCCTAATCACCTAGGTGACCAGTACTAGGCCTGGCCAATCCCTAATCACCTAGGTAACCAGTACTAGGCCTGGCCAATCCCTAATCACCTAGGTAACCAGTACTAGGCCTGGCCTATCCCTAATCACTTGGGTGACCAGTACTAGGCCTGCCCTATCCCTAATCACCTAGGTGACCAGTACTAGGCCTGGCCAATCCCTAATCACCTAGGTAACCAGTACTAGGCCTGGCCTATCCCTAATCACTTGGGTGACCAGTACTAGGCCTGCCCTATCCCTAATCACCTAGGTGACCAGTACTAGGCCTGGCCTATCCCTAATCACCTAGGTAACCAGTACTAGGCCTGGCCTATCCCTAATCACTTGGGTGACCAGTACTAGGCCTGGCCTATCCCTAATCACTTGGGTAACCAGTACTAGGCCTGGCCTATCCCTAATCACTTGGGTGACCAGTACTAGGCCTGGCCAATCCCTAATCACCTAGGTGACCAGTACTAGGCCTGGCCTATCCCTAATCACTTAGGTAACCAGTACGAGGCCTACTCGATCCCTAATCAGTCCTACACGCCGCCACGCCCCCGTCACCCAGCCTCACGGTGCAATGCCACGGCGCGCGTGGACGTCACGGTCCACATTTTTGTAATTAATGTAATTTTAAAAACAAAATAATTTCAAGACATGGGCATGGAAAAAAAAACCAGCATGCAACATCGTCCACCCCCTTACCGGCCAGACTACACACGGGGGGGGGGGGGGGGGGTGGGTGAACGTAGCGTACCTTCGCGACACAACCCCACGGAGGCCACCATCATCGCTGACGCCGCGTGTGGGGGTTAAAGAACAACAACAACAAGGAAACACCAGCAAACCTGTAACGACGATACCACGCGCCGTTCGCTTCACCCGTACGCCGCGGACGCCGTCGGTCGTAGTTTCGGCAAACGTGTTGCCACCCGCGCCGCGTAAATATATAAATGTTGTGTCGTTAAACCCGCCACCACCCGACACGGCCAACCAGTAAGGGTTGTCACGTCAACAGAACGCGGCTAATTCGTCACTAGTACAGCACTAACCGGTGTGTTGGCACGTTCTGTTCACGTGACAAACCCTTACGAGTTGGCCGTGCCGGGTGGTGGCGGGTTTAACGACACAACATTTATATAAAGCCGACGTGTTAAACAGACGGACAATAATAATTATTATAATTTTAAATAAAAGTGCTCTCACAGAAACTACTCCATCTGGAGGGGAGAGGGAAACACAGCAGCAATCGTCATCCCCTACTGGGAAGGAAAAGTGAAATAATAATCCTTGACAGGAACCTCCTGATCAAGGAGTCTCGAGACTCGGGTGTAGTAAATTATTATCACAACAACAATAATAATGACGTTAACGATAATCTGTGGTCGCCTTGTGCCACGGGATAACACCGCCAATACCAAAGTGTACTTCTCCTCGGCTTGACGTCCATTCTTGCGGAGGGAAAAGGCAACGTGGTGGAGGGACGGGGGGGGAGGCGGAGGGAGGAGGGGGAGATTGGGCGACGTTAATTAGCTTCGCGAGTTCGCGATCACCAACCTCGCTCTCACGCCGGCCGACCAGACCCTCTGCCCTCTACCCACGCACACTTACCACGCTGGCCAGGGACACCAGCTGTGCCACTATCCCAGAACCCACGTGGCCAACCAGACCCTCTACCCACGCACACTTACCCTGTGCCAGGGACACCAGCTGTGCCACTATCCCAGAACCCACGTGGCCAACCAGACCCTCTACCCACGCACACTTACCACGCTGGCCAGGGACACCAGCTGTGCCACTATCCCAGAACCCACGTGGCCAACCAGACCCTCTACCCACGCACACTTACCACGCTGGCCAGAACCCACCAGGCCAACCAGACAACCCATCCCTGCCCTGCCCTGCCCGTAGGGGGTCTATCGTGACCAGCAACCCGGTTGCCCAGCATTCGAAACGCCATCGCAACCACACCGGCGAACCAGAATCACCGACCGCACGCCGAATCACGAACCGCATCAGCCGACCGAACACACGAGCACTTTGAGCGACCCAGACTGGCTGAGCAGGGCTCTGGAGCTGGCACCCCCCTAACCCGGGGATCCGAAACCCAACCCCTATCCTGCAGTGGCGGTGCCTGTGCTACCGCACCCACCCACTCTACCCCCGTTGTTAATTTGTGGGTCACTTTTGGTGGTCTTATCGTCGTCATCAGCCGTGATTAACACACAGCTGGATGAAAGCCTCCTCTATGTGACGCCGCGATGGGATTGGCGCTTTAAATCTCTCTCGCTCTCTCCACCATGTTAGGGCAGCCCAGGCAGGGTCAGGTCAAGAGGTCGCGCTGTTGTTCTAAGGCAGGGCGTCTAGCCGAGGATGAGGAGGGCGAGGAGGGCGAGGGTGAGGAGGGCGAAGAGGAGGTGAGAGACGCGCGAGCAGTCACGGCGTCAGCCCTCCGCTAGCGTCGTCTTGACTTCGTGTCCGCCTCCCCCTTGCTTCTTTGCTTCTTCGCTTTCCTGGGGAGAGAGAAAGACGAGAAATCTGAAGGACGTGAGCACCGCTCGTTGGCCACAAACATCCCCGGCGATGAAAAAGTCCCCTGCACGCCACTCGATCCCCTTACCCCCCACCGTGTAAGCCTGAACAGACCAAAGGCCGGCACACCCACGAAGGCCGGGACGGCACACGAGACGGTGGGTGGCCAGCGCCACGCCCGGCCGCCTTTGTCTCCCCAGCGGCGATGTTTACACACCGACCGAGGGGAGGCCCAGGACCGATTCGGATAATCACCGCTGGTGTTGGCCGTGAGCGGGAATTGAACTCGGGTTGCCCGGTTCGAAGCGCAGTGCGGTAACCGCTGCACCACCGCTCCCTACCACCGCCGGCGACACCACCGCCAGCGAAGTCACCACAACGCTGGTTGGCCAGGCCAGGTGCACTTTGAGCCCATCACACAAAGTGTCGAAGACTCATCTTCTTTGGTTCTTTCGGTAAAGTCACGTAGAATGAGAATAAAATAATAAATTGATAAAATAAAATAACAATAATATTCTCACGACGTTTCGGCCACAACACAAGCGGCCTTCATCAGGTGAAGGGACGAGACTGTCTGGTAGGACAGCCACAACACAAGCGGCCTTCATCAGGTGAAGGGATGAGACTGTCTGGTAGGACAGCGCTGTCCTACCAGACAGTCTCGTCCCTTCACCTGATGAAGGCCGCTTGTGTTGTGGCCGAAACGTCGTGAGAATATTATTGTGTTATTTTATCAATTCTTATTTTATTCTCATTCTACGTGACTTTACCGAAAGAACCAAAGAAGAAGAACCAAAGAAGTTGAATCCTTGCAGTCACGAAAGCTTCGAATCGAAGAATGTCGAAGGCTCGCTGCTGGCAGGAGGTCACGGGACAGACCCCGGCGGGTGCCACGGGCTGACCGACCGAGACGACCGGCAGACGCGCCCCGCCCGTGCCCCCCACTGCTGCGCCGGGCCGGGTGCAGCAATTCACGGGACGGACCCGGGGGGGGGGGGGGGGGGGGGGGGGTGGGGGGGGGGGGGCCCGCCGCTCACCTCGACCGCTCGAAGTCCTCGTCGCCGAGCAGCCCGCGGAAGAGGAAGTCGTCGAACTCCTCGCCGAGGTCGTCGTCGTCGTCGTCGCGGTACCCCAGCTTCTCCTCCGCGTAGTCCTCCAGGAAGTGCTCCACGCCCTCCACGAAGTCGCGAAAGAGCGCCCGGTCGTGGGCAAAGAAGCCCGTGGCGGCGGAGAAGTACGGAGCGACGCGCCGCTCCAGCGCCTCCCAGCCCTCGAAGCCCCGCAGCCTCTCCGCGTAGGCCCTGAGCAGCGGCGCAAAGTCGCCGGCGTGCACGGGGCCCGGCGACTTCCCGAAGAGGCGCAGGAACTCCTGGGCGGCGCAGTCCTCCACGCCGCTGCAGTTCTCGGGAGCCCGCACGTGGAAGCGCTCCCGCCGCCCCCCGCTTCTCCGCCCCCGCGTCGCCCTCCTCGTGCGCGGGGGGCGGCGACCGCCGCTCGCCGTGCCGCTCGCTCCGGGCGGCTCCGCGTCCCTCGGGGCCGTGACGCCGCCGCTGCCGCCGCTGCCGCCGCTCGCCGTGCGGTTTTGCCGGTCGGCGCGGAGCCGCGGTCGCCCCTCTTGTCGCGGCGCCCGCCGTCGTGCGGACGCGCCGACGCCCCCCCGCCGCCGTCCTTGCCGGGCTTCCCCGGCGCTCGCCGTCCCTCCCCGCCCGACCGCGGTCGCCCGGCTCGCTCGCCGGCCTTGCCGCCTTCCCCCGGGGAGCGCTTGCGATGCGGAGGCCTCGCGGGCCGTGCGGGCCCGGCCTCGGGCGCTCGCGACGTCTCCCCGCGTGACGCGCCGCCTCCTGCTTCTGAATCTTCTTCTGCTTCTTCTTCTTCTGCTTCTTCTTCTTCGCCCTCCGATTCGTCGGAATCCGAGACGTCTTCGCCGCCGCCGTCCGAGACGTTCGCGTCTTCCACGGCGCCGGCGGCACCCCCGAGGTCGCCCGCCGGTTCGTGGCGCGCCAACTTGGGTCCTCTCCGTGCGGCGACGTCCGAGAGCCGTGACCGCTCCTCCACCTCCTCCTCCTCGGCCGCCGACGACGACGCCGATGACGCCGACGACGCCGACGACGCCGCCGCCTCAGGTGTCCCCGGCTCCGGTGGCAGCGCCGGCTCCGCCGCGTCCGGCTCACCACCGCCGAAGATGTTCCACCAGTAGGTCTGAAGTGGCAATAAAGGCAAGGTTCCTCATCACCACCACCATATCCACCACCTCCTCCACCGCCACCACCACCACCTCCTCCACCGCCACCACCATATCCTGCAGCATCTTAACCACCACCACAACCACATCCACCACCATATCCTCCACCACCACCATATCCACCACCTTCACCATCCCCCCCCCCCCCCCACCGTATACCCTTCAACAGGCTGGTTGGGGCGAGTGTGATGAGTGTGGTTAGTGCGGTGAGTGTGGTTAGTGCGATGAGTGTGGTTAGTGTGATGAGTGTGGTTAGTGTGGTGAGTGTGGTGAGTGTGGTTAGTGTGATGAGTGTGGTGAGTGTGGTTAGTGTGGTGAGTGTGATTAGTGTTGTGAGTGTGCTTAGTGTGGTGAGTGTGGTGAGTGTGCTTAGTGTGGTGAGTGTGGTTAGTGTGGTTAGTGTGGTGTGGTTAGTGTGGTGAGTGTGGTGAGTGTGGTTAGTGTGGTGAGTGTGGTTAGTGTGGTTGAGTGTGGTGAGTGTGGTGAGTGTGGCGAGTGTGGCGAGTGTGGTGAGTGTGACGAGTGTGGTGAGTGTGGTAAGTGTGGCGAGTGTGGCGAGTGTGGCGAGTGTGGTGAGTGTGGTTAGTGTGGCGAGTGTGGTGAGTGTGGTGAGTGTGGCGAGTGCGGTTAGTGTGACGAGTGTGGTTAGTGTGGTGAGCGTGGTGAGTCACCCCCTCTCTCTCTCTCTGCAAGTCGCCCTCTCTCTCTCTCTACGAGCGTTGCCAATCACCACCACCACCATCACCACCATCATCACCACCACCACCACCATCACCACCACCACCACCATCACCACCACCACCATCACCACCACCATCACCACCCAACCTGCTGTTCCGGCGGCGTCTCCACTACGTCACCCGCCAGGAGGCCCTCGCCGTTCTCATCCTTGGCCCAATCGTCGCCGGGGTGGAAGAGGCCTGGGGAGTGCAGAGCGCTTTAAACATCTCAACGATCATCCTACATCGTAGTGTATATAGTAGTGTATATAGTAGTGTATATAGTAGTGTATACATCACTGACAAAGCCCCATCACAAGGGAGAAACACAAACAAATACACTTCTGTGGGTTTTTATGTTTACTAAAATTTCCCTGTACAAAAATACGGGGTAAACCGTATGGGTTGACAGGTATGTTTACTATACACTAGCCTACAATAAACTACACTATACACTACATTACTATACACTACCCTACTATAAACTACACTATACACTACACTACTATAAACTACACTATACACTACACTATACACTACCCTACTATAAACTACACTATACACTACACTACTATGCACTACACTACTATAAACTACACTATACACTACCCTACTATAAACTACACTATACACTACACTATACACTACCCTACTATAAACTACACTATACACTACACTACTATACACTACCCTACTATAAACTACACTACTATGCACTACACTACTATAAACTACACTATACACTACCCTACTATAAACTACACTATACACTACACTATACACTACCCTACTATAAACTACACTATACACTACACTACTATACACTACACTACTATAAACTACACTATACACTACACTACTATAAACTACACTATAAACTACACTATATACTACACTACTATACACTACACTTTACACTCCACGACCATACACTACGCTACTATACACTACGCTACTATACACTACACTACTATACACTACACTACTCAACACTACTATACACTACACACTACACTACTCAACACTACTATACACTACATTACTATACACTACACTACTATACACTACACACTACACTACTATACACTACACACTAAACTACAATACACTACACACCACACTACTATACACTACACTACTATACACTACACACTACACTACTATATACTACAATACTATACACTACACTACTATACACTACACTACTATACACTACACACTACTATACACTACTATACACTACACTACTATACACTACTATAAACTACACTACTATAAACTACACTACTGTACGCGATACACTACACTACTATACACTACACCACTATACACTACACTATACTACTCTACTATACACTACACTACTATACACTACACTACTATACACTACACCAGGGGTCGGGAACCTATGGCTCGCGAGCCAGATGTGGCTCTTTTGATGATTGCATATGGCTCGCAGATAAAACAAAATATTCTCACTTGTTTTAATCCATCCATCGATTTTTCACTGCGCATGTCCTGTTCAGGGCTGCAGGAGCAATTGTCCATTATTTTAATTGGATGATACTGGCCTACCTTTGCCGTTGCTGGGTAAAACAGGTAAACGCCCCCTTTTGAATCAGTCTGAGACTGCGTCTGCTCGGTCATTAGCTCAAAGCTAACCCTTCGACGAAGAAGATGGCGAAAAGAAAAAAAGACGACGAGTATCGTACATTTCAGGACGAATGGACCGAATAATTCGCCTTTGTGGAGAGAGCGGGTTCTGCGGTGTGTCTAATTTGCAATGACAAAATGACATCGTTGAAACGGTCGAATGTAAAGCGGCACTTCGACATGCGCCACGCTACCTTTGCATCAAAATACCCTGCGGGAGACAGCAGAAAGAAAGCGTGCCAAGAGCTTCTGAGCAGGGTGCAAGCTAGCCAGCAGCAACTCCGCGTATGGACCCGGCAAGGTGACTATAATTCGGCTAGCTTTGCTGGTTCTTTAGCAATAGTGAGGAACGGAAATCCATTCACAGATGGCGAGTATGCTAAAACGTTCATGCTGGATGTAGCCAATGAACTTTTTGATGATCTTCCGAACAAAGACAAGATAATCAAACGGATACAAGACATGCCTCTGTCGGCAAGAACTGTTCATGATCGTACCATCGTGATGGCAAACAAAGTGGAGGAAACGCAAGTGAAGGACATAAATGCAGCGCCGTTCTTTTCTCTGGCTTTGGATGAGTCAACAGACGTGAGCCATTTGTCGCAGTTCAGCGTGATTGCAAGCTATGCTGTTGGTGACACACTGCGTGAAGAAAGTCTTGCTGTTCTGCCATTAAAAGGGTCCACAAGAGGTGAGGATTTATTCAAGTCTTTCATGGAGTTTGCTCAAGAAAAAAGTCTACCTATGGATAAACTTCTCTCAGTGTGTACTGATGGTGCTCCGTGTATGGTGGGGAAAAACAAAGGATTTGTGGCGCTTCTCCGTGAACATGAAAATAGACCCATCCTAAGTTTCCATTGCATTATACACCAGGAGGCACTTTGTGCTCAGATGTGTGACAGGCAGTTTGGCGAAGTGATGTCGCTGGTCATTCGTGTGATCAACTTTATTGTTGCCCGAGCCTTAAATGATCGCCAGTTTAAAACACTGCTGGATGAAGTTGTAAATAACTATCCTGGTCTGCTTTTGCACAGCAATGTGCGTTGGTTGTCAAGAGGGAAGGTGCTTAGCCGTTTTTGCGGCTTGCCTGAACGAAATCCGGACTTTCCTTGAAATGAAAGGCGTCGGGCATCCTGAGCTAGCCGACACCGAGTGGCTCCTCAAGTTTTACTATCTCGTAGATCTGACTGAACATCTGAACCAGCTCAACGTGAAAATGCAAGGCATTGGAAATACAGTGTTATCCCTTCAACAAGCTGTATTTGCTTTTGAAAACAAGCTGGAGCTTTTCATCACGGATCTTGAAACAGGTCGTTTACTACATTTTGAAAAACTGAGCCAATTTAAAGATGCATGCACAGCAAGTGAGCCCATTCAAAACCTTGATCTCCACCAGCTAGCTGGCTGCACATCCAGTCTCCTACAGTCCTTCAAAGCACGCTTTGGAGAATTTCGTGAGCACACTCGTCTTTTTAAGTTCATCACCCATCCAAACGAGTGTTCACTGAACACAGCCGACCTGAATTACATCCCTGGTGTCTCCGTCAGAGATTTTGAAGCAGAAGTGGCTGACCTGAAGGCCTCAGACATGTGGGTGAATAAGTTCAAGTCACTGAATGAAGATTTGGAAAGAATCACACGACAGAAAGCGGAGTTGGCGAGTAAGCACATGTGGACAGAAATGAAAAAACTCCAACCCGAAGACCAGCTGATTCTCAAAACTTGGAACGCGCTTCCTGTCACATACCACACACTGCAGCGTGTGAGTATTGCTGTATTGACCATGTTTGGATCTACGTATGCATGTGAGCAGTCATTCTCACATCTTAAAAACATCAAGTCCAACCTACGATCACGTTTAACGGATGAAAGCCTCAACGCTTGCATGAAGCTTAACCTCACCAAGTACCAACCCGACTACAAAGACATCAGCAAATCCATGCAGCACCAGAAGTCGCATTAATGGTGATTGTTATAACAACATTATTTAAAAGAATAAATTCAGAGGCTTATTATACTGACATTTAGTTGAATTCACTTTTAAAATATATTATATGGCTCTCACTGAAATAAATTTCCAAATTTTTTGCTTTCATTAGTGGACGTTTCAGGCGGTGGAGGGTTTTTGTTTTCTTCTTCCCTTCCAAAGACATTTATAGTTTAATAGTTGTTTTTTAAATTAACAAAGCGACATCAGGCACACGGCACGGGGGGCACGGACAGGGAGGGAGGGGGGGGAGGGGGGGGGTTGCCACCATCACGTGACGCTACGGACTGCAGTGTAAACGCAAGCCCCGTCAACGCCGTGCGGCCCGGTCAACTCGACAACTCCCCGTGGACTCTGCCTGAGCTCCGATAACCCCGGCAGGAGAAGGCGGCGGCCGGGGGGGAGGGCAGGGCACAAATGCCGTCGCGACGTCTCTTCAGGATCGATGCCCGCTGGGGGAGGGGTAGCGGAGGAGGTTCTTGACGCCGCGGCCGTCCGGCTCGCGGCGTTCATCTGGGGGGGGGGGGGGGGGGCCCGCCCCCCCCCCGCCCCCCCCCCGCCCCCCCCAGCCCCCCCCCCCCCCCACGCGTCCCGTCGCGGTCGTAGACGCGAGCACTCGCCGAGCATCTGCGAGAAGAGCGTGTGGACCACGAGGACGACGAGGATGGCGAGGATGCACTTGTTGATGACGCCGCCGCCGCCGCCGCCGCCGCCGCCCCTCCGCTCCTCCTCCTCCACGGCGCCGGCGGCGGCGGCGGCCGCGTCTTCGTCTTCACCGCCGCCGTCGGCCCGGCCGAGCGTGTGGGCGGCCGCCGCGGCCGCCCGGGCCTGGCGCTTGCGCAGCCGTGGCTCGAGACGCGCCGCCTCGTCGTGGCTCGACACGTCCTCCTCCGAGACCTCGAAGCCTGCCGGGGGGGGGGGGGGGGGTGGGGGGGGGGTGACACCATCGACACCGTCGTCATCAGTCAACATCGACATCATCGTCGTCATCGTCGTCGTCATTGTCGTTGTCGTCATCGTCGTCGTCGTCGTCATCGTCGTCGTCATCGCCGCCGTCGTCGTCATCGTCGTCGTCATCATCGTCGTCATCATCATCGTCGTCATCGCCGCCGTCGTCGCCATCGTTGTCGTCGTCGTCGTCATCGTCGTCATCATCGTCGTCGTCATCGCCGCCGTCGTCGCCATCGTCGTCGTCGTCGTCGTCATCGTCGTCATCATCATCATCGGCCGCGCGCGGCTCACCCAGGTGGACTTTGCGGGGCGACTTCCCGCGGGTGGGCGACGTCGCCGCGGCCCCCGGCTCCGGCCGGCTCGCCCCAAAGTAGTCCGCCGAGTCCATCACGCGAGAGCGGACCTCCTCCACGGCGCCCGATCGGTCCGGCGGTGGCTCTTCCCATCGCTGCCGGGGGTCGGGTCGGGGCGACAACCCGGCGTGTCCGCCAACCTCCGCGCTCGCCCAAACCTCCTCCTGCTCCTCCTCCTCCTGCTCCTCCTCCTCGTGCTCCTCGTCCGCTCCGCCACCGAGGCCATGGCTCCCCAAGCCGGATTCCGAGCGGCCGGGCTCGCTACTTGAGCCGTAGCCGCGTCCCCCGAACTCCGAGGTCGCTTCCTGTCCCCATTCCATTGATTTTCAGAGTTACAATGAAAATAAAAAAAGCCACCCCCGACTTTAAAGGGGGAGGGGGGGCGTCACGATGCTCGACCGAGGCCGAACCAGTGTTGTTGTTGTCATCGATTGCTATTGGTGATTGTTGCCGTTTTCATTGATTATTTTTATTATTATTGTTTATTATTGATTATTACTATCGTTACTATTGTGGCTTATTATGAATGAGAATTATTGTTTTCAGCGTCGATTGTTCTTGTTATCGGTATTATTATAATTGTTGTCCTAGATAAGAATCGTTGTGGATTATTACCGACTGTCGTTATCATTCACGGCAGCAGCAGCAGCAGCAGCAACAACAACAAGACCGCGCGCAGTTTTGGCGCGCGACTGAAAATCCCCTCGGCAGACCGCTGCGCCGAGCGCGAAGCCCGGCCACGGGGTGGCGCTTCGGCACAGCGCCACCACCACCACCACCAGCAGCAGTCGGTCGGTCACCCCCTCCCTGCCCTAGCAACGACGCGTGCGGCTTCCACGACGGAGCGTTGAGGGAGCTCTGACGGAGCTCTGACGGAGCTCTGACGGAGCGTTGACGGAGCGTTCACGAGCGGAACTCGAGCGCGTCGCGCCAGCCGGCAACGAGAGCGGTCGGTCGCACGGCTGCCACGGCGTATCATCGCGCGCCTCGGCGTTTTTGGGGGGGGGGGGGGGGGTGGTGGTGGTGGGGATGCTGCTGGATGCTTCTGTGACGCTACCCACACCGCCTGCCTCGGACTTACGCATCTCGCGCGTTCTCGCGGAAACCGTGCTTCACCACCCCCCGTGTGATACACAGTTTGTAGTAAGGCGATTTATTGCTTCAGTTTTTACCCGTAACGTGGTTTTTCCTTCTTGGGAAGGGGTGGAGGGGACGCGGCGGCGGCGGCGGCGACTACCGTGGCATTGTGGGAGAACGCGAACGGCGTTCGTGGGGGGCGTGGAGGAAGACGGGGGGGGGGGGGGCCGGGGGGGGTTCGAGGGAGATGCAAGCGGCGGGAGCGGTCGCGGAGGAAGCGTCTCGTGCGCTGTTCAGAGGCACGGGGGGGGGGGGGGTCTCACGCAGGCACAGCTCCCACGCACAGCTGTCCAAGGGGAGCTATTCTTAGCGCCACGCTCCTCGGACTGTAACTCGTTCTGCTATCACCCCCCCCCCTCCACCCACTCGCCCCCCCCCCCCCGCCCCCCGAAGGCCGTGATCCAGCAACAGTTTCCACAGGCGATCGCTATTTTTGCCCGAGTGACGTCCGACTCGGAACGAATGAGAGATAGAGAGAGAGACAGGGGAGAGAGACAGGGGAGAGAGACAGAGAGACAGGGGAGAGAGGGAGACACGGAGTGAGAGACAGGGGGAGAGAGAGAGAGACACGGAGAGACAGGGGAGAGAGAGAGACACAGAGTGAGAGACGGGTGGGGGGGAGAGAGACACACGGAGTGAGAGACAGGGGAGAGACAGAGAGACAGGGGGGAGAGAGAGACACGGAGTGAGAGACAGTGGGGGGAGACAGAGAGACAGGGGAGAGAGACACGGAGTGAGAGACAGGGGGGAGAGACACGGAGTGAGAGACAGGGGGGAGAGACACGGAGTGAGAGACAGGGGAGAGAGAGACAGGGGGGAGAGAGAGAGACAGGGGGGAGAGACAGGGGAGAGAGACACGGAGTGAGAGACAGGGGAGAGACAGAGAGACAGGGGAGAGAGAGACAGGGGGGAGAGACAGGGGAGAGAGACACGGAGTGAGAGACAGGGGAGAGAGAGAGAGACAGGGGGGAGAGACAGGGGAGAGAGACACGGAGTGAGAGACAGGGGAGAGACAGAGAGACAGGGGAGAGAGAGGGAGACACGGAGTGAGAGACAGGGGGGAGAGACACGGAGTGAGAGACAGGGGAGAGACAGAGAGACAGGGGAGAGAGCGAGACAGGGGGGAGAGACACGGAGTGAGAGACAGGGGAGAGAGAGACACGGAGTGAGAGACAGGGGAGAGAGAGAGAGACAGGGGAGAGAGACACGGAGTGAGAGACAGGGGAGAGAGACACGGAATGAGAGACAGGGGAGAGAGAGAGACAGGGGAGAGAGACACGGAGTGAGAAACAGAGGAGACAGAGAGACAGGGGAGAGAGACACGGAGTGAGAGACAGGGGAGAGACAGAGAGACAGGGGAGAGAGACACGGAGTGAGAGACAGGGGAGAGAGACACGGCATGAGAGACAGGGGAGAGAGAGAGAGACAGGGGAGAGAGACACGGAGTGAGAGACAGGGGGGAGACAGGGAAGAGAGAGAGACACGGAGTGAGAGACAGGGGAGAGAGAGACAGGGGAGAGAGAGACACGGCGTGAGAGACAGGGGAGTAAGACAGACAGAGTGAGAGACAGGGGAGAGAGAGAGACACGGAGTGAGAGACAGGGGGGAGAGAGAGACACGGAGAGACAGAGAAGAGAGAGACAGGGGAGAGAGAGAAAGAGACAGGGGAGAGAGACACGGAGTGAGAGACAGGGGAGAGACAGAGAGACAGGGGAGAGAGACAGGGGGGAGAGAGAGACACGGAGTGAGAGACAGGGGGGAGAGAGAGACACGGAGTGAGAGACAAGGGAGAGACAGAGAGACAGGGGGGAGAGAGAGACACGGAGTGAGAGACAGGGGAGAGAGAGACACGGAGAGACAGAGGAGAGAGAGAGAGACAGGGGAGAGAGAGACACACGGAGTGAGAGACAGGGGGAGAGACACACGGAGTAAGAGACAGGGGGAGAGAGACACGGAGTGAGAGACAGGGGGGAGAGAGACACGGAGAGACAGAGAGACACGGAGTGAGAGACAGGGGAGACACGAGAGACGGAGTGAGAGACAGGGGAGAGAGAGAGAGACACGGAGAGAGAGACAGGGGGGAGAGAGAGACACGGAGTGAGAGACAGGGGGGAGAGAGAGTACGGAGAGAGAGGGGGTAGAGAAAGAGGGGGTAGAGAGAGAGAGGACGGAGAGAGAGGGGTAGAGTGTCGTAGTTATAAAAAAGAGAGAGAGCGAGAGAGTGGGCTAGAGAGAGCGAAATGGAGTAGGAAGAGAGGGGGCAGAGAGGGAGGGAGAGGGAAGGGGTAAGGAGAGCATAAAAAAAAGAAAAAATATTTAGTTGTCTTTCATTGAAAAGGGGAAGGGGGGGGGTTTACATAAAGCAAAGCATAAAAAACCAAAAGAAACCGAAATAATGAACGGAGTAAAGTGCCGACTACACCGAGCATCTTCTTGTTTCCTCTGATCGTACAAAAGAGAGAGGGACAGAGAGAGATCGACGGAGTGAGATACAGGGGGAGAGAGAGAGACACGGCGTGAGAGACAGCGGAGAGAGAGAGTAACGGAGAGAGAGACACGGAGTGAGAGGCAGGGGAGAGAGAGTGACAGGGGAGAGAGATCGACGGAGAGACAGGGGGGAGAGAGAGACAGGGGAGAGAGACACGAAGTGAGAGACAGGGGGGAGAGAGACACGGAGAGACAGAGAGACACGGAGAGACACGGAGTGAGAGACAGGGGAGACAGAGAGACGGAGTGAGAGACAGGGGGGAGAGAGACAGGGGAGAGAGACAGGGGGGAGAGACACGGAGTGAGAGACAGGAGGAAGAGAGAGACACGGAGTGAGAAACAGGGAGGAGAGAGAGACACGGAGTGAGAGACAGGGGAGACAGAGACACGGAGAGAGAGACAGGGGGGAGAGAGACACGGCGTGAGAGACAGGGGAGACAGAGAGATGGAGTGAGAGACAGGGGAGAGAGAGACAGCGGAGAGAGAGAGACACGGAGTGAGAGACAGGGGAGAGAGAGGCAGGGGAGAGAGAGACACGGCGTGAGAGACAGGGGAGTAAGACAGACAGAGTGAGAGACAGGGGAGAGAGAGAGACACGGAGTGAGAGACAGGGGAGAGAGAGAGAGACAGGTGAGTAAGACAGACGGAGTGAGAGACACGGCGTGAGAGACAGGGGAGAGAGAGAGAGACAGGTGAGTAAGACAGACGGAGTGAGAGACAGGGGGGAGAGAGACAGGGGAGAGAGAGACACACGGCGTGAGAGACAGGGGAGTAAGACAGACAGAGTGAGAGACAGGGGAGAGAGAGAGACACGGAGTGAGAGACAGGAGAGAGAGACACGGAGTGAGAGACAGGGGGGAGAGAGAGAGACACGGCGTGAGAGACAGGGGAGTAAGACAGACGGAGTGAGAGACACGGCGTGAGAGACAGGGGAGTGAGAGACAGGGGGGAGAGAGACAGGGGGGAGTAAGACATACGGCGTGAGAGACAGGGGAGTAAGACAGACGGAGTGAGAGACACGGCGTGAGAGAGTTTGCCGGTTTATATATTTTAGTTTTTTTAACGCCGAGGGATAGACGAGAGGAATGCGTGGATTAGATGGTGACACAAAGACAAAGGTACCCGTCCCTCCGTATAGCCTCAACAGACTCTTGGGGCAAGTGCTCTGAGCGAGCAGCACCTGTCAAGGACGGCACGGTACACGAGGGGGTCGGTGGTCAGCAACCACGCCCGGCCGCCTTTGTCTCCCCAGTGGTGATGTTTACACATCGTACCGGGAACTCATTTGAGGCTGAGTCGACCTACGGGAGGCCCAGGACCGGTTCAGACAATCGTCACTGTTGGTGTTGGCCGTGAGCGGGAATCGAACTCGGGTCGTAGCGCAGCATAGTGCTAACAACTACACTACCGCTCCACATAGGTGACACACACACACGCAAGCGCACAAGTCAGAGGACATCATTGTCATCATCATCATCACGTTGATCTTCACTGAGCAGTGGATAGACCTTGATGATGACGACAACAATGGATTTAGAGGACACTCAAAGGTTAATTCGCCTGCCTTTCATATATTTTGCACTCCGATTGTGTTTGTGCGTGTCGCCTGAGCGTGTCTCCGTGCGTGTCTCTGCGCGTGTCTCCGTGCGTGTCTCTGCGCGTGTCTCCGCGAGTGTCTCTGCGCGTCTCTGCGCGTGTCGCCTGAGCGTGTCTCTGCGCGTGTCTCCGCGCGTGTCTCCGTGCGTGTCGCCTGAGCGTGTCTCTGTGCGTGTCTCTGTTGTTGTAACGTTATTAATACCTCGCGCACGTGCCCCCGACTGTCGATTCTGTTGTTTCTTTAATGTCACGCTTCCGACGCATGGTGGCAACAATCATCGCACGGCAGACGACGGCGGTGACGACAATGACAGTGATGACAACGGCGGTGACGACGACAATGACTGTGACGACAATGACAGTGACGACGACAATGACAGTGATGACGACGGTGACTGTGACTGTGACGACAATGACAGTGATGACGATAATGACAGTGATGACGACGACAATGACAGTGATGATGACGACGGTGACTGTGACGACGACAATGACAGTGACGACGACGGTGACTGTGACGGTGACTGTGACGGTGACTGTGACGACGACAATGACAGTGATGATGATGACGACGACAGTGACTGTGACAATGACAGTGATGACAACGACAATGACTGTGACTGTGACAATGACAGTGATGACGAGGGTGACTGTGACGACGACGGTGACTAACGGTGACAGTGATGACGACAATGACAGTGACGACGACGGTGACTGTGATGACGACAGTGACAGTGATGACGACGACGGTGATGATGACGGTGACGACGACGACGATGATGACGATGATGACGACGATGATGACGATGATGACGACGATGATGACGATGACGACGGTGACGTTACCTGGCTCCGCTGGCTGTGGTCGCTGGGAGCGTGAGCGCCGTCCGTGTCTGTGAATGGCACGAGACAGAGAGAGAGAAGGAGAGAAGGAGAGACGGAGAGAGACAGACAGAGAGACAGACAGAGAGACACAGACAAAGATACAGAGACAGATAGAGAGAGAGACAGAGAGAGACACACAGAGAGACAGACAGAGAGACACAGAGATACACAGAGAGAGACAGACAGAGAGACACAGAGATACACAGAGAGACAGACAGAGAGACACAGAGATACACAGAGAGACAGACAGAGAGACAGACAGAGAGACACAGAGAGAGAGACAGACAGAGGGACATACAGAGAGACACAGAAAGACAGAAAGACAGAGACAGACAGAGAGACAGACAGAGAGACAGATAGAGACGCACAGAGACAGACAGAGAGACAGAGAGACAGACAGAAACAGAGAGACGACAGAGAGACAGACAGAGAGACAAAGAGACAGAGAGACAGACAGAGAGACAGACAGAGAGACAAAGAGACAGAGAGACAGACAGAGACAGAGAGAGACAGACAGAGACAGAGAGACAGACAGAGAGACAGATAGAGACACACAGAGACAGACAAAGAGACAGAGAGACAGACAGAGACAGAGAGACAGAGAAACAAAGAGACAGAGAGACAGACAGAGACAGACAGAGACAGAGAGACAGAGAGACAAAGAGACAGAGAGACAGACAGAGACAGAGAGACAGAGAGACAGAGAGACAGAGAGACAAAGAGACAGAGAGACAGACAGAGAGAGAGACAGAGAGACAAAGAGACAGAGAGATAGACAGAGACAGATAGAGAGACAGAGAGACAGAGAGACAGACAGAGACAAAGAGACAGAGAGACAGACAGAGACAGAGAGACAGACAGAGACAGAGAGACGACAGAGAGACAGACAGAGAGACAAAGAGACAGACAGACAGAGACACAGAGAGACAGACAGAGACAGAGAGACAGAGAGACAGAGACAGAGAGACAGAGAGAGAGAGACGACAGAGAGACAGACAGAGAGACAAAGAGACAGAGAGACAGAGAGACAGACAGAGACAGAGAGACAAAGAGACAGAGAGACAGAGAGACAGAGAGACAGACAGAGACACAGAGAGACAGACAGAGACAGAGAGACGACAGAGAGACAGAGAGACAAAGAGACAGAGAGACAGAGAGACAGTGAGACAGACAGAGACAGAGAGACAGAGAGACAGACAGAGACAGAGAGACAGACAGAGACAAAGAGACAAAGAGACAGAGAGACAGAGACAGAGAGACAGACAGAGACAGAGAGACGACAGAGAGACAGAGAGACAAAGAGACAGAGAGACAGAGAGACGACAGAGACAGAGAGACAGACAGAGACAGAGAGACGACAGAGAGACGACAGAGAGACAGAGAGACAGAGAGACAAAGAGACAGAGACAGAGAGACAGAGAGACAGACAGAGACAGAGAGACAAAGAGACAGAGACAGACAGAGACAGAGAGCGTCACCCGAAGATCAACCCACGGGCGGCGGTGGTGTTGTTGTCACACGCCACGTAGACGACACGGCCGTGATTCGCCTCCTCCGCGTATCCGTCTCGCCACGCCATTCTATTTCGTGTGTCTATGTAAAAGCAAACAGGTTGCTTCAAAAAGATGTTAACACTTACACGGGACTACCGTTTTTAACGGGAAATAATCGGATACGAATACACTGCAACATGATAACAAATGTAATGTTAATAGCTTCAAAAAGTCAAAGGGTCTCTCAGCTTGTCCGCCTTTGTTGTCAACACGTGCCTGGAATCTTCCCCATGTGGTCTCCAGAGCCTGGGGGCGGCACATTTCTCGTGGTATTGTTGCAAATTCTCGGCATTGTTAACATTTTTTTGAAGCAGGTTGCATTCACGGAGACAAAGATCCCTCCAGTAACAGACTGTCGGGGCAAGTGCTGTTCACGAGCACCTACGAAGGCCGGAACGGCACACGAGGCGGTGGGTGGCCAGCAACCACGCCCGGCCGCCTTTGTCTCCCCAATAGTGATGTTTTTAGCCTCAAAAGGTACTCATTTGAGGCTGAGTCGACCTAGAGGAGGAGGGCCAGGACAGGTTCAGATGAACGTCACTGGTGTTGTCCGTGAGTGAGAATCGAACTCGGGGACGCTGGGTTCGTAGAGTAGGGTGCTAACCGCTACCGCTCCCCACACGTATATACACACACATATATACACAAATACAGATACACACACACACGTATAAATATTTCTTACACAAACCGTCAGTTGCACGACCATTGTTGTCACGGCAGAAATTTCCCGGCAGGAAAATTCATTCAAAATCCCTCCCTCCATCCCCTCCCTCCATCCCCTCCCTCCCCTCCCTCCATCCCCTCCCTCCGCTCCCTCCATCCCCTCCCTCCCTCCATCCCTGCCTCCCTCCCTCCATCCCCTCCCTCCCTCCCATCCCTCCCTCCCTCCCTCCCCTCCCTCCCTCCATCCATCCCTCCCCTCCATCCCTCCATCCCCTCCCTCCCTCCCCTCCCTCCCTCCAATCGGGAACCATGCGGTTTGAGGGGGGGTACGGATTTCTCCGTTGTTGGACTCACCCTCCGTGATGACAAGGTCCTCCACGTGGCCCTCCACGTGGCCCTCCACGTGGCCCTCCACGTGGCCCTCCACGTGGCCCTCCACGTGGCCCTCCACGTGGCCCTCCACGTGGCCCGGCTCGTGGAGTTTGTCTCGCGCGCCGGGGAGATCCTGCACGAACTTCAGCGAGACGGGAGTGCCCTCCGGCAGCTGCAGGGGATTATCCGAGTCCATGGCTCCACCGCTGAGGCCAGACACAAAGAAGCCAACACCGCCACCATCACCACCACCGCCACCATCACCACCATCACCACCACCGCCGCCTCCGCCGCCTCCGCCGCCTCCGCTACCATCACCACCACCGCCACCACCACCACCTTCGCCGCCTCCGCTACCATCACCACCACCATCACCACCATCACCACCACCACCACCATCACCACCACCATCACCACCATCACCACCATCACCGCCACCACCACCACCACTACCACCACCAACACCATCATCACCGCCATCACCACCATCATCACCACCACCGCCGCCACCACCGCCGCCACTGCCACCATCACCGCCACCAACACCACCACCATTACCACAAACCACCACCATTACCACCACCACCATTACCGCCACCACCGCCGCCTCCGCTACCATCACCGCCACCAACACCACCATCACCACCATCACTGCTACCACCGCCACCACCACTACCACCACCGACACCACCACCATCATCACCGCCATCACCACCACCACCACAATAATCATCACCACCACAGCTGCACGCCATGTGGACTTAACGGACGGCCACCGACAGCAGTAGCAGTAATGAGAAAGGTATCACGACTTCAACTCGCAATGCCGCACCGTTGCTGTGCGGCATCCGCTCACCGCTCTCGCAGGGAGAGGGGAAAACGCGGAGAGAGACAATAAAACAGTTGTGTGGAGATGTGATGAAAACACCAAACTGGGACCTTTTGCGAAGCATCCAGTCTGCATCAGCCACACACACGGTACTTACGGTGAAAGTGCAAACACACGTGCTCCGATTTCTTGCTTGTTCGTTTGCACGTTCACGATTGTTGCATGTTCACCGCAAGTAGGCAGGCAGGATTCCCGGCAAAAAGGTTTCCCGTTTGGTGTTTTAAAATCTTAGCACAGCTGTTGCATTTCCAGGCGGGCTAAAAACCTATTCTTTTATGTCGCCACTGGCAATAAAGGGCCCACACTGGGGTTGGCATCCTTGCTGTGACCGACACCTCCTGGCAGAGCCGGGGGGGCGGCTACGGCTCCTCCTCGACACCCACCCGCGGGTAGAAGGCAGGGAGTGTGCCACAGATGGGGATTAGTCCACACACTTTGCTGTCACCGGCACCACCCTGGCAAGTGGCGGGGGGAGTGTCGCAACGCCATCTCCGTGCGATCCGCCAACCCTCGCCCCGCGACGCCGGATGACACCAACGGGCCCCACGACCCGGGCCGGCTTCGGGGACGGGCGGCGTCAGCGAGCGCCTATTAAGGCCGGCACACGGGGTGCCGACCGACGCGGGGGCTGGTGCGCCCAGCGTCCGCGTCTCAGCAAGCCGTCCCCGTCTCCCTCCCCGTGCCGATGTGTACAGGCGGTGCCCGGGGAGGGGTCATTTAAGGCCGAGTCGATCTAGGGGAGGGGCCCAGGACCGGTTAAAGCTGTTCCCTCACCGGGGCGTCGGGCGTGGTGCGGCTAAATGCTGCGCTGCCGTGCGGCTGAGACGACGCGTGTGGAGACAAGACCACAGGCAGACACACGCAGAGACACGGCCACCAGTTACTGCTCACACCCTTTTCCACTGCCACATTTGAACCGTGCCAGAGCACCCCGAGTCTCAAGACCCTGAGTATCAAAACATTGAGACCTGGGTCTCCCCGTGTCTCAAACCCTGAGTCTCAAAACCTTGAGACCTGGTCTCCCCGTGTCTCAAACCCTGAGTCTCAAAACCTTGAGACCTGGTCTCCCCGTGTCTCAAACCCTGAGTCTCAAAACCTTGAAACCTGGTCTCCCTGTGTCTCAAACCCTGAGTCTCAAAACCTTGAGACCTGGTCTCCCCATGTCTCAAACCCTCAGTCTCAAAACCTTGAGACCTGGTCTCCCCGTGTCTCAAACCCTCAGTCTCAAAACCTTGAGACCTGGTCTCCCCGTGTCTCAAACCCTGAGTCCCAAAACCTTGAGACCTGGTCTCCCCGTGTCTCAAACCCTGAGTCTCAAAACCTTGAGACCTGGTCTCCCCGTGTCTCAAACCCTGAGTCTCAAAACCTTGAGACTGGGTCTCCCCGTGTCTCAAACCCTGAGTCTCAAAACCTTGAGACCTGGACTCCCCGTGTCTCAAACCCTGAGTCTCAAAACCTTGAGAACTGGACTCCCCGTGTCTCAAACCCTGAGTTTCAAAACCTTGAGACCTGGACTCCCCGTGTCTCAAACCCTGAGTCTCAAAACCTTGAGACCTGGACTCCCCGTGTCTCAAACCCTGAGTTTCAAAACCTTGAGACCTGGACTCCCGGTGTCTCAAACCCTGAGTCTCAAAACCTTGAGACCTGGACTCCCCGTGTCTCAAATCCTGAGTCTCAAAACCTTGAGACCTGGACTCCCCGTGTCTCAAACCCTGAGTCTCAAAACCTTGAGACCTGGTCTCCCCATGTCTCAAACCCTGAGTCTCAAAACCTTGATACCTGGTCTCCCTGTGTCTCAAACCCTGAGTCTCAAAACCTTGAGACCTGGTCTCCCCATGTCTCAAACCCTGAGTCTCAAAACCTTGAGACCTGGACTTCCCGTGTCTCAAACCCTGAGTCTCAAAACCTTGAGACCTGGACTCCCCGTGTCTCAAACCCTGAGTCTCAAAACCTTGAGACCTGGTCTCCCCGTGTCTCAAACCCTGAGTCTCAAAACCTTGAGACCTGGTCTCCCCGTGTCTCAAGACCGCCGAGTCTTGGTACTTAATTCACGTCGCGTGCGCGTCGCGATGGTGGGGGGAGGGGTTCCTCGCGGCTCGTGGGATCTGAATGGCCGTAGATTTGCGGCGATCCGGCCGGTGAATGGCAAAGCGCCGTCGCCGCTATCACCCCCCCCTCCCCCGGTGGGGAAGGGGGGGGGCGCAAGGTTGCCACGGCGCGAGCCGCAGAGCACGGAATCCATCCACGCGCTCACCCCCGCCCCCCCCTCTCACACCAGACCGGCGCTCCGTGTCTCCCCCGCGCTTCGCACGGTGCCACATCCACGCTCAACGAGAATCTTTATTCAGACGGGGGGGAGGGGGGTGGTGGCCGCGGGGGGGGGGGGATAGCGGGGGGTGGGTGGGGGGCTGTCACAGTGAGCCGCCCGGTCTCCATGTCAGCCGCGCGCCCATCGAAGGAACGCCGCCGCGTAGGGCCAGAGGGTACGGCAAGGACGATAGCCGGGCGCACGCCGCCACTGCTGGCAGAAGGAGGAGGCCCCCTTCCGCTGCTAGAGAGAGGTCGAGGGACTCGGGGGTCCGGAGACTCCGGGGTCTGGAGACTCGGGGATCTGGAGACTCGGGGGTCTGGAGACTCGGGGGTCCGGAGACTCGGGGGTCCGGACACTCGGGGGTCTGGAGACTCCGGGGGTCCGGAGACTCCGGGGTCTGGAGACTCCGGGGTCTGGAGACTCGGGGGTCTGGAGACTCGGGGGTCTGGAGACTCAGGGGTCTGGAGACTCGGGGTCTGGAGACTCCGGGGTCTGGACACTCGGGGGTCTGGAGACTCGGGGGTCCGGAGACTCCGGAGTCTGGAGACTCCGGTGTCTAGAGACTCGGGGGTCGGGAGACTACGGGGGTCTGGAGACTTCGGGGTCGAGACTCGGGGGTCTGGAGACTACAGGGGTCTGGGCACTCGGGGGTCTGGAGACTCGGGGGTCTGGAGACTCCGGGGTCTGGAGACTCCGGGGTCTGGAGACTCCGGGGTCTAGAGACTCAGGGGGTCTGGACACTCGGGGGTCTGGAGACTCGGGGGTCTGGAGACTACGGGGGTCTGGGCACTCGGGGGTCTGGACACTCGGGGGTCTGGAGACTCGGGGGTCTGGAGACTCGGGGATCTGGAGACTACGGGGGTCTGGAGACTCGGGGGTCCAGAGACTCGGGGGTCTAGAGACTCCGGGGGTCTGGAGACTCGGGGATCTGGAGACTCAGGGGTCTGGAGACTGGTCTCTAGTGGTGCAACTGTGGCCATGCAGCCCAAACTATGGACCGCCCAGTAAACCCAAAAAGACATAGGTACACAAAGAGATCCATAGAGACACACAGAGATCCATGGAGACACACAGAGATCCATAGAGACACACAGAGATCCATGGAGACACACAGAGATCCATAGAGACACACAGAGATCCATAAATCCAAGCGACCACGGGGAGAGAGGTACGCAAACTCCAAATATCCAACGGGTGTCAGGGTCAGGATTGAACCCACCGACCTCCTGTAGTCCAGCCGAGGTAGTTAACATCTCCTAGCCACTATCCTAATCGGAGGTGCGGGTGAAGGACAACAAACTAAACACGACGACAATAAGAAGCAGTTCTGAAGAAAGTTGTTTGTCAATCCTAGATTGGTGATTTAAAGAGTGGCATCACAGCTCCCAGTGAGCTTCCTAATACCGGAAGAGAGGAGCGTTCCAGACGGCCGCAGAAGCGCACACCAAAAGCGCCGCGCGATGCGGGTCTAAAGAAATTAGTTTTCAACCTCGACTTGAAAGCGCATTGCTCAAGTGGCTTCCTAACATTTCACCGCTCTCACTGCGGGCATTGTGAGCACTGCGCGGAGGGGCGGTGCAATTGCGTCAGGGAGATCACAACCGAGATGAGACGGCGGTTTGAGTTTCCAATTAGGGAGGAGATGGAATTACTCCACTCACGCCGCCGCACAATATTTATCCTGCGCTCGCGTTCCCGGCGTGTGTGTATGGCCAGCGCCCCCCAACCCCCCACCACCACCACCACCACACCACCACGCGTCAATCCACTGCAGGATGACGGCCGTGCGGGAGAGACGCTCGCTCGGTCGGCGTCACGCCGAGGGAGCTCGGGGGAACGCGGCGCGGGGCCGAGAGGGCAGACGCTCGACAGGGAGACGTCGCGGTCGTCTGCTTCATCCAGCAGCGGAGAGACCACGGCGACGACGCCGATGGCGAGGGTGATGACGACAGCGTGGAGGGATACCTGGCCGGGGATATGGTCGCCCTCGGAGGCAGGGAGAGGCCCACGCGGATTCCTGAGCGCACGTGATCAGAGACGTCGTGTTGATATTCATCCGGCAGCGGAGAGTCCACGGCCATGACGTGGATGATGATGACGATGATGACGATGATGACGATGACGACGAAAGCGTGGAGGGGTTTTTTTTTTTTGCACGTCGCAATGGAGGAAAGCAGCAAGGAGGTGGCCGCAGGCCACACCGTGTCCAAGGGGCCCTGGCCAGCGGACGGAACCGACGGGAGGTGGGGGGGGGGGGGGCGAGCGCCGGCGCGGGGGAACCGCAGGGCGGTGACGGCCGCGGCGAGGCCCCGGTGCAGTCGCTCGAGAGGCGACGTCATCGTCGTCAGCTGATGCTGACGACGATGACGACGATGCTGACGATGGTTACGATGACGAAAATGATGACAATGATGATGACGACGATGGCAAGGATGGCGATGACGACGCTGATGACGATGACAATGCTGATGACGATGACGCCGCTGATGACGATGACGCCGCTGATGATGACGATCACGCCGCTGATGATGACGATCACGTTGCTGATGACGATGCCACCGATGCTGGCGAATCGGCAGCATCGGTGGCGTTGTGGACTCGCGGTGCCCACGTTAAACGAGCACTCGGGAGCGCTTCGAGAGATTGCTGCGCTGCGATGAGCACCACGCGACCGCTGCGTTCACCGCCTGCGACCGCCGCGTTCACCGCCTCTCCATGCCGCCTACACCACCTCTCCCCAGGCGGGCGCCGCTTCCACGGCGGTGGCCGTGGCGCCACGTCGCGCCGCTCGCTCCGTAACCGCCCCCGCGTTGTTTATCCACGCAGCGGTTATCCAAACCACGCACGGAGCGGTTAAAACGAGCCAACCACCAAACCCCCCCGTGCCACCCCACCCCCCCCGTGCCCCCCCCCCGTGCCCCCCCATACCCCTCCCCCCGCCCGTCGTTTGTAATGGACGCTTAAAAAGGTCGTCGTCACTTGCTCGGATCGTTTGAATCTTCCCCTTCTGGCTGACGTGTGCAGGTACCGCACGCTGAACTTCTTTCGCACCGTACGTAGCCATCCGTGGCTAATCGGAGGTGCGGGCTGATGATGATGATGATGTTGTTGTAGAGCCAACAGCTGTGATTGTACGTGGCGGTGGTTGATGAGCCAGATGACTGCGTCAGGATTGGCACGGGGTGACGAATCATCATCGTGACGACGAAGCCTCTTTCGTACATTGCTATATGCGAGTCCGTGGGTCTCTGCGCAAGTCTATGGGTCTCTGCATGAGTCTATGAGTCTCTGTGTGAGTCTAAGGGTCTCTGCATGAGTCTATGAGTCTCTGCGCAAGTCTATGGGTCTCCGCGTGAGTCTATGGGTCTCCGCGTGAGTCTATGGGTCTCCGCGTGAGTCTATGTGTCTCTGCGTGAGTCTATGTGTCTCTGCATGAGTCTGTGGGTCTCTGTGTGAGTCTAAGGGTCTCCGCGTGAGTCTATGGGTCTCTGCGTGAGTCTATGGGTCTCCGCGTGAGTCTATGGGTCTCTATGTGAGTCTATGGGTCTCTGCGTGAGTCTTTGGGTCTATGGGTCTCCGTGGGAGCCGGTGGGCGAGGGGTGATGATGGAGCGCCACCCAAGAGAGGGCAGGGCAACGAAGGAGCAACGTAACAACGGCGGAGACGGAGCGACGGAGCGATGGGATCGGCTGGTGCGAATGCGCCAGGCAGGGATCGCTGGCGCCTTCACAGGGCGGCGAAAGACGGTCGACGGCCTGGAGCAAGCGTTCCATCCATCCAGCGGCGGATTCATCAACGCCGATTGGCGACATTGATAACGATGGTGACAGCTGTCGAAGGCCAAACGCCTCGGTCCCGAGCTTCTAGGAGGCGGAAACGCCACGATCCCACGGTTGAAGCCAGAGAGCGTCGCCTGCGACCCTTTCCGGCAGTAAGAGTCTCGGAGGTGCGTGTCCCAAACACCGAGCGAGGCATCATGGGGTCTCCGTTCACCGCACACGCTCGTGGTAAAACGACGGCTATCTGAATCCGGCACACGGGCCTCCCCCTGGGTCGAGTCGGCCTCAAAACGAGCAGCCATGGTGCGGTGTGCGTCGCTGGGGAGACAAAGGCGGCCGGGCATGGGATGCTGGCGACACGCACCCCCTTCATAGGCGCTGCTGGTACTCGCTGACAGCCCTTGCCCCGCCAGTCTGTGAAGGCTACATGGGGGATCTTTCCTTGATGACAACGGGAAGAGTAAATAATAATCATGATGATGATGTCAACGCATAACGCTGTACAGCCACCACCACACAGTATCCGCTCATCGCTCTCGTAGAGAGAGAGGATGACTCGGAGAGAGAGGACGACTCAGAGAGAGGACGACTCAGAGAGAGAGAGAGAGGATGACTCAGAGAGAGAGAGAGAGGATGACTCAGAGAGAGAGAGGACGACTCAGAGAGAGAGAGGATGACTCAGAGAGAGAGAGGACGACTCAGAGAGAGAGGACGACTCAGAGAGAGAGGACGACTCAGAGAGAGAGAGAGAGGACGACTCAGAGAGAGAGGACGACTCAGAGAGAGAGAGGACGATTCAGAGAGAGAGAGAGGACGACTCAGAGAGAGGACGACTCAGAGAGAGAGAGGGGACGACTCAGAGAGAGAGAGAGGACGACTCAGAGAGAGAGGATGACTCAGAGAGAGAGAGGACGACTCAGAGAGAGAGAGGACGACTCAGAGAGAGAGAGGACGACTCAGAGAGAGAGAGGACGACTCAGAGAGAGAGAGGACGACTCAGAGAGAGAGGACGACTCAGAGAGAGAGGACGACTCAGAGAGAGAGGACGACTCAGAGAGAGAAGACGACTCAGAGAGAGAGAGAGGACGACTCAGAGAGAGAGAGGACGACTCAGAGAGAGAGAGGACGACTCAGAGAGAGAAGACGACTCAGAAAGGACGACTCAATCCCATGCAGGGCCCATGGAGAAAGATCCATGGACTGACATCGACCCATAAACTTGCATCATAAACTCCCACAGAGACCCGTAGACCGACACAGAGACCTATAGACTCCCACAGAGACCTATAGACTCCCACAGAGACCTATAGACTCCCACAGAGACCTACAGACTCCCACAGAGACCTATAAACTCCCACAGAGACCTACAGAGACCTACAGACTCCCACAGAGACCTACAAACTCCCACAGAGACCTACAGACTCCCACAGAGACCTACAGACTCCCACAGAGACCTACAGACTCCCACATAGACCTACAGACTCCCACAGAGACCTACAGACTCCCACAGGGACCTACAGACTCCCACAGAGACCTACAGACTCCCACAGAGACCTACAGACTCACACAGAGACCTACAGACTCCCACAAAGACCTACAGACGCCCACAGAGACCTACAGACTCCCACAGAGACCTACAGACTCCCACATAGACCTACAGACTCCCACAGAGACCTACAGACTCCCACAGAGACCTACAGACTCCCACAGAGACCTACAGACTCCCACAGAGACCTACAGACTCCCACAGAGACCTACAGACTCCCACAGAGACCTACAGACTCCCACAGAGATCTACAGACTCCCACAGAGACCTATACACTCCCACAGAGACCTATAGACTCCCACAGAGACCTACAGACTCCCAGAGACCTATAAACTCCCAGAGACCTACAGACTCCCACAGAGACCTATAGACTCCCACAGAGACCTACAAACTCCCAGAGACCTACAGACTCCCACAGAGACCTACAGACTCCCACAGAGACCTACAGACCCCCACAGAGACTTACAGACTCCCACAGGGACCTACAGACTCCCACAGAGACCTACAGACTCCCACAGAGACCTACAGACTCCCACAGAGACCTACAGACTCCCACAGAGACCTACAGACTCCCACAGAGACCTACAGACTCCCGCAGAGACCTACAGACGCCCACAGAGACCTACAGACGCCCACAGAGACCTACAGACTCCCACAGAGACCTACAGACTCCCACAGAGACCTATAGACTCCCACAGAGACCTACAGATTCCCACAGAGACCTACAGACTCCCACAGAGACCTACAGACTCCCACAGAGACCTACAGACTCCCACAGGGACCTACAGACTCCCACAGGGACCTACAGACTCCCACAGGGACCTACAGACTCCCACAGGGACCTACAGACTCCCACAGAGACCTACAGACTCCCACAGAGACCTACAGACTCACACAGAGACCTACAGACTCCCACAAAGACCTACAGACGCCCACAGAGACCTACAGACTCCCACAGAGACCTATAGACTCCCGCAGAGACCTATAGACTCCCACAGAGACCTACAGACTCCCAGAGACCTACAGACTCCCACAGAGACCTACAGACTCCCACAGAGACCTATAGACTCCCACTGGGACCGTTAGACCGACAAAGATACCATATCATCATTAGACCTCTTTTGCCAGTACCAAAATATAATAATAAGGTTTTTCCCCTTTTTTCTGGCAACAAAACTGAAACCTTTTAACAAGGATTCATGTCCGCATTAACCACAATAGCTGCAGTCAAAATGCAAACAAAAAACATACTATGATAATATATGCATTGTCCTTGAAACTGATTGGTCCACACACCCTTTGGCGTCATCTGGTCGAGCACCAATTGGATCGAGGCTCAAAAGAAAGCCGTCCCTTGGTGTGGACCAATCAGTTTCAAGGACAATGCATAAATGATCATAGTATGTTTTTTGTTTGCATTTTGACTGCAGGTATTGTGGTTAATGCAGACATGAATCCTCGTAAAACGGTTTCAGTTGTTGCCAGAAAAAAGGGGAAAAACCCTACTACAGATACCATATTTAACCCTAAATATACACAGAGCACACACTCACACGTTGCACATTACCATAGGGGACTATATTTAACGTCCACGTTAACAGCGCCCGCAAATGCCGCGCAGATTATTTAACACGACTCTCACTGCCATTTTGATTTAAAGCTTTTATTATTTTATAGTTTCCCTGCTACGTGACTTTACCGAAAGAACCAAGAATATCTCACTGCCATATTTAACCCTGATATCAACTCAGCTCACACCACGTCTCTTATTACCCACGTCCACACGCCTCCGATCACCATACTTAACCCCCGATGCCACACACACACACGTTTTGACTGTAATTATTTCGCGAAAAATCCTCTCGCCATATTCAACCCGAACACCGACAGGCACCAGAGCACCCACCGCACGTCTCTTGCCGCATTAACACCGCACCGTCTGCCGTGGATGTTCAACACGTCTCCTTGCGCCCATATTCAACCCCACGCGTTGGGAGCGTCACACGGGCACAGCCAAGTAAGCGCCACGCGCCGCCTTAAAAGGGAAAACTTCAAGAGGAAATCCCACGCACATT